ATTTTCATAGTAAATTTTAATTTATTTTTATCTTTTAAATTTTTGTTGGACCAATTTTTCATATAAAATGTTAATTAAAAATTAATGTTAGATTTTTTGTCTATCATTTACTATGTTATAATATTGTTATTATCAAACTTTAATAAAATATAAATAGATTATAATATTTCCTTCTAACTATTTGCTCAATACATATATCATAAATTAACTTCTATTAATATAAATAATTTTTGAAATGCATAAAAAATTATAAAATGTAATTAAATTATAATTGCATCAACGCAACATAAATAGTCATTATTCAAATTTACTCATTTATATATCAAATATTAAAAATAAAATATGTTAATTATCTAAGTAAATAAATATGATATATATGGACAAATATCAAATTATTTTTGGAATGCATTAGTTGACTTATAGATCTCATGCAACTCATATTGATCTATTGGTTGAGAGTTTTGGATACGCATCAACTAAAAGGTTTTAGATTCGAGTCTTATGTATGTGATATGTGTGAGTAGGGGTGTCAATTCGGGTCAACAGGCCGGGTTCAGGTCGAACCCATTTTTAAAAACGGGTCAGGTTTCTGGACCCGAACCCGACCCGATTCGGGTCCGGGTCAACCCGACTCGACACGAATGACCCGAAGTTCACCTAAAATTACTAGTTTTCAGGTCAAAATCGGGTTAATCTTCAATTTTTGGGTCAAAATCAGGTAAAAAACGGGTCAATCTCGGGTTTCTGAGTCAAAAAGGAGTTTTCGTGTCAATTTTGGGTCATTTTCGGGTTGCTGGGTCAACCCAAACCCGACCCGATTTTTAAAACGGGTTGATTTGTTGAACCCGAACCCGACCCGTTTCAGGTCCGGGTTGACCCTAACCCAGATTTTTTTGGGTCGGGTTTGGGTCGTGTTTCGGGTCCTATGTATGAGTTTAACTTAATTGATCTAAATGTCCCAAAAAGAACTTAGAGATCTCATTGAGTCATAACTGTCTTATTTAAAATACTGTTTCTATTATTGCAAAGTAGGCTCCATAGCTTTTGCTTTTTGCAAAGTGGATTCCTTTGCTTTATGCCATCCTTCCATTCTATTGTTAATATATAACTAGTTTGGTTGGATAGCCATGGGTGTTTTTTGGCATATTGATGATAAGCTTCATTAGAAATAAATATGCCAATTTAAATGTATAATATTTCTTACTAATATATCATAAATATTTTAAATATTAATATTACTATACCATATGATAAGACTTTGATATTAATGTGCTATGATAATCTATTTATCTATTTGTTCTCATTAATATATCATGTAATCAAAGTCTAATTATATGTAAAGCTTTTTTTAGTTGACCAACTTTGATATTAATAGATATGTAATCAATATAGATTAGAGCATTTATATATTAAAATAAATTAAAACATTTTTCTAGTTTCATTAATATATTTAAATGTTAAATCATTTATATAATGAATTTGAAGACTTGGAAGTTAACTTGATCATACTACATGAACAACTTTTTTAAATTATAGAGACTAAATAAAATTAATATATTTTCACTCATGAAAGTGAAAGCCAAATTAAAAAAAATCAAATATTAAAAAATTACTTAACTATATTTGATAAAAATTTCTTACTCCTTACAAGCAAGTAAATACCAAGTGATTGGATTAAGGATATGTTTGAGACAACTTTGTTACTAGTTTTCTTTTCCGACCAAAATCATAATTTTTGATTGAATGTTACTTTCTCGCTATATTTTTTGAGAAATTTGTGTGTTAAGAAGCTATTATTTGGCACATCAACTTTCAAAAAAATTATTTTTTCTTTTAACAACTTTACAATCATCTTTAAAAAAAGATGCACCGTCCCAAACAGATCTTAAGAATTTGTTTGGAATAGCTTTTGGAATGCTTTCATAATATGAAAATAATTTGTAAAAAACAATGTGTTTGGAAAACAATATTTTCATAACTATTTCAAACTTCTGATTATAAAAAAGTTGTATTTAGAAAAGCATTTTTGAAATTATGATCGAGAAAAGAACTTTTAAAGACAAAAAAAAAACTTTATCTGCCCAAAACAAAGCCTAAGATTTTGTTTAAGACAGTTTTTTTCTCCTGCTTTATGAAATAACTTTTAAATACAAAAATCTATTAAAAATAGTCAAAAAATAATAATAAAAAATTATCCCAAACAAAATCTAAACATGTCAACTTTTATCAACAACAGTACAACAACATCAAGCCTTTATCCCATTATGTGGTGTTGGCTACATGAATCTTTTTTCTCCATTTTTTCCTCTTAAAAATTAAATTCTCATTTAAATCTAATAAAGAAAAGGTCACTTCTAATATTTCCTAACCAAGCTATATTACGTCTATCTCTACCTTTTTTTAATATAAGTCAAATCAAATATATCTACTTTCCTAACCGGATCATTGGAAGACCGCCGTTTCATGTGACCAAACCAACTTTTATCAAGAAAAAATTGAAAAAAAAATTAAGAAAAATTATCATAAACATATATAATGATGAACTCTTTATCAATCCAGATATTCAATGGAGCTGCACATTGTTCATCAACGAGCAGGTGACCAAAAATACGCAGTGGTGGGGATCCTATATACAATTGGCCGACCTGATACTTTTCTTTCCAAGGTAATAATTAATTATAATATCTATTTATTTATTTAATATATTTATAATATTAAAAATCATTTATCATTTGTGATAATTCAGATGATGAAATACATAAAAATGGTGAGCGATAAGAAGGATTTGGAGGTGAAGATAGGCAGTGTTGACCCCAGGGAGATTAAAAGAGGAAGCAGGAAATACTACAGGTATATAGGATCTCTCACTACTCCTCCATGCACTGAAGGTGTTGTTTGGACCATCATTAGAAAGGTAAATTACATATTTTAATCAACTAACTAATTAATTAATGACTTAATGAAGATTTTATCTTGGTTAATCACCTTATAAAAATCATCAATAATATTACTGAACAGGTGAGGACAGTATCAGTGGAACAGTTAAGATTGCTGAAAGAAGCTGTAGAAGATGTGAGTTTCAGAAGAATTTTTTTTTTTTTTTTTTTTGTTTTCTTAGTTAGAATCTGAATAAAATACATATAATTTTCCACAGGGATTTGAGAAGAATGCGAGACCCTCGCAGGCCATAAAGGATAGGACAGTTCAACTGTATCAACCTATAAATCCGTATTAGAAGATGCAATATTCATATAAGTTTTGCATGTATTAATTCTAATAAATTGGAACATTTGAATTTTTAATGAAGGATTTGAGTCTTCGTATCATGATTTTTACTGAGAGTTTCCAGTCTTTAAAGAGGGGATCACAGCTGAGCTTTGCACATAGCCAGTCAAATCCTTTTCTTTGAAAAATTTTTGCCTATGAAGCACAATCAACATGGTATTATATTTTTCACTAATTTGACATAAGACTAATTAACTCTAACACTTAAGCTTCGTTTGGCACATCTTTCATACAACTTCTTAAAGCAGCTTTAAAAAATAGTAAGAAAGCCGTCCCAAACGAAGCATTCGTTTGGACGGCTTTCTTAATGCTTAAAAATCTGTACTAAAAAGTTGCTCGAAAAAACAGTAAGAAAGTTATTCTAACCGAAGCCTTACATGTCTTAGCAAATCTCTACTTTGATGTAGGATGACTGAGTATGATATAAATGGTAAAATGAAAATCATGGGTTACCAATTCTCAATTAGTAAAAATGATGTAGGGAGAACATCAAAACAGTAACAAAAATATTCTCATATAGAACTGACAAAGCGATGCACATTAACAATCCCAAGGGATGCAGTTGTTCAAGATAAATATGAAAATGAGAAAAAAAACTGTCAAGTTCGACTCACAGGTACCATCGTGTCGTCTGGTTTGGAGATCAGTGGCGCTTCGCTTTTTTGAATTAACAGAAAAGGCGATGGAGTATAGGGTTCAACTTGGTCGGTTTTTTATTGTTTCTAAAGTAACTTTTTAATATAAAAAATTTTTGAATTAAAAAATTTTATAAATAAAATGATTTTAGAAACAATAAAAAGATCATCCCAAAAGAAACAATAATCTCAAGAGAGTACTGGGAAAGGAAATTCAATGAAGGTAATATATAACGATAGACCTATAGACTGATGTGCATATAGCTATATATAGTCCCTCAGAAGAAGATCTATTGATTACAAGTAATGGTGTAAATTTTGGGTCAGGGTCGTGTTTAGGTTGAACCCGAAACTGACACGGCACTATTCGGATCAACTCGAACACGACCCGTTTTTGCAAACGGGTCGGTTTTCTGGCCCCGAACCCGACCCGACTCGAATGACCAAAGTCAAACAAAAAATTGCTATATTTCGGGTCCAAAAACGGATCAAATTCCACTTTTCGGGTCAAAACGGGTCAATCTCGGGTTGGCTGGTCAAAACAAGTTTTTGGTATAATTTCGGGTCATTTTCGGGTCAACAGGTCAATTGAACCCAACCTGATTTTTGAAACGGGTCAAATTGCTAAGCCCGAACTCGCCCCGCTTCGAGTTCGGCTCAACCCAAACCGAGTGTTGAAACGGGTCCAATATTGACATCCCTAATTACAAGTGTGTTGAAGCTAGGTAGCTAAAAATCATTGATTGCTTCAATTCCTAGTGGTTGATTGTGTAATTTGGATACATATCAGCCATTCATATTGCACCATCAAAAACATAATCAAAAGAAAGAGACATCCTCAATAAGCCAATCTAGCTGTAAAGTTTGTTCACTTAACAGTCCATACAAACAAAGCCAATCTAAGATAAAAGACAAATGCAGGGCCTTCAGCTTTCCCCCTTTCATGCAATAGAGAGCCTACAACATACAGTAAACCTCCCAGCTATTTTCAGCCAAATAAGAAGAGTTCAAACTCCATTTTTTTTTTTTCTTACAAGCAGGTGAGCTTTACATTTGATATTGAAAGCAATCAAGTTTTCTTCTTGCACAGAAAATCCAAGTAGAAACCGAGTGTTTCAGAGTTCTACCAAGTCAAATCGGTACAGGAAAGGTCAATTAATAGTTAATACCCCTTTAATTGCCAGCCTTCACTCATTCAAAGTCAACTTTTATAATTTCTAACCTTGTTGAAGCAGTCTTGAATGACTACTTTATCAAGAAAACATAATGATTAATGAATACTTGAAACATTCAAATATGACTAATTTGCTCAGCTAACAGCCTGACTAAAACACAAAATGTATATCAGCGTAGGGGTGTCAATCGGGTCAACGGATTGGATTCGGGCCGAACCCGCTTGACCCGGTTGTAAACAGGTTGACACTAACCCGACCCAGTTTTGCAAACTGGTCAGGTTTGTCAACCCGGACCCAACCCGTGCGGATTACCGGTTTGACCTGACCCCACCCGTGAACCCATGAATGAGATTTGTGATCGGGATTCAGCCATTCGAGCGAGGGCGAGAGCTGTCTTGCGGCGTGCCTAATGCGAGGCCGGGGCGTGTCCGCCGCCTACGAGGCTTCAAGCGCGGTGAGGCTCCTGGTTTGTTGCTAGGGCAGGCAAGCCTGGTGCAGCTCCGTGGTTCGACGCGATGGCGGGTGATGCTGCGACGGGGCAAGAGTCGTGAAACCAGTGCAGATCTTCTGTTCAACGAGACGTTGAGTTCGCCTGTGCGGTTCTACGTGTGTAGAGACGTGGGTTGGCCAGTGTAGACTGCATAGTTCCAGTCTTGCATATGCGATGCGAATATGCGAGGCGGGTTAGCAGCCGAGTCAATCCCGGGTCAATTTCAATTTAGCGGGTTGACCCGAACCCGACCCATTTTTTAACTAAACCCTAAATTGAAACTCAAACCCGACCCATTTGTTAAACTGGTCAACCCTAACTCGAATTTTTTGGATCGGATTTGAATCATATTATCAGGGCGTGTCAATAATTGACACCCCTATATCTGCATTTGGCAAATGAGCAACCATAGTTCTTTCAATAGCGAAAGCAAACAAGAATTTCTGAGAAGGAATTCGGACCTACATGCATAATCAATGCATGAAATAATGCAGAAGACAGTGGGGCCTCTAAACCGTAGAGCTGACGCCTAGGATTCAGAGCACTAGCAGTCTAGCACTTCCATTATCATTTTCTTGTTGAATGGCTTGGAAGGAAGCAGGTGAGAGTGATTGGATCTTGATTATGAATGTCATGAGGAAAACCATTATTCCAGCAAGCAATCACAAGATGAAGACTCTGTTATGCTTTGACCTTAAAGAAATGTCAATGAATTCATTATTTGCTATGCTAAAGAAGTAAGAACAAATCAGTGCTTTTTAAGAGCTTGTGCTACCCATGTGTCGAATCCCAATATAGAATCAGTTCCAACAATATATAAAGAAATTATTACAAATGATTCAAAAGCAAGTATGTGTACTTTTGTTCATCTTGGCTCTTCTTCTTTGAAACAGTTGGATTTCTAATCCGGGCGTTGAAGTCCAAAACATCTTAGCAAGAAAAATGAAGATTATACTTGCTTTGTAATCGCTTTTGCATAATCGATTTTTTAACTGATTGTGAGAAACGTGATTTATATATGGTGAGATCCCAAAGAAAAGATATAGCAGAATTATAATATTTTATTATTTTTTAAAAATTTATATAACTTATGTTTAGTATAAAAGTGAAACAAGTATGATAACATGTTATAGAGCACTAAAGATAGTTCACAAAATTTCTTTAATTAAAAAAATAATTAAGAAAATGATAATGTCTCATGCTAGACCTCCCAATATGATATAATGATCAAGATCTGTCACACTGAGTGATATGGAAAAATATGTTGATGCCACATCATTGATATTTTTTTGAAATTTTCAACCAAATTAGAGGCATAAGAACTCCAAACAAGAACAATATTAATTCAAGTTCCACTCTTCTGACCACAGCAATGAGCCTGCATAAGTACATAGAAGCCAATTTTTCTATATGTTTATTTTGTTCATATTATGCCCACTTTACCAGTTCTTCGGAGCAGTTTTACACATTTAACTCATCAAGTTATAAAGTTTCTATATGTTTAAATGCAAGTCATGTTGTTCTCAATAGCAATTCGCAGAATCCACCGGTCATGTTGTAAGAGTCACAATTTGTTCAGCCTGTTAGCAAAAGCTACCGGTGATGTTGTAAGAGTCACAATTTGTTCAGCCTGTTAGCAAAAGCTTACACCGCCTACATCATGAAAGGCAGAAACAATGGTGCATGAGACAACCAAGCATATATAGGAACAGACCATATCCCTTCACTAGGAGAAATTATTCTGTGCGGAGTCCGGACTGTTTTACTGTAAGTGTACACAGTGTGTACACTCACATGTCCGAACGGTTCTTCCTGTCTGGACTCTACATGGAATAATTTCTCCCTCACTAGGCCAACATGCCAAAAGAAACCTTGCATGCACGACCATTACCAGTCAATCCTAGCAAGGTAGCTAAAATCACAATATTGTTAACCCTTTGTATTCTCTAAATCCCATCGATGCATCAAAGCTCAAGGGTCAATGTGGAGGCAAGCATGTATAGGAACAGAGAGCCTTTAAGGAAATTATGTTCATGGACTTGTCAAAGCACAACCACTCCAAGAAACCTTAACATTGAAGCCCTTTCATGGCTGCAAGTCAATCCAACAAGCCAAGCCTAAGCAAGCTCCAGTAAATCGTCGTGAAATAAAAACAAGGTAAACAAAGTTAAATAGAGATTCAACTAGTGATCTTTTGAAACATTTGAGTCCGTTCAATTTCCGGTCTTCTCTCTCATAACTCCTACAGTAGGCACAAGGTCGATCAACCTTGGAACCTCCCTTCAGAAGTTGATTTTTCATGAAGAAAACATAAAGAACACTTGAAAATTTTGAAATAAATAGATAAAGAAAGCAGGATTTCCATTAAGGAATTTGGACCTACATCCACACAGAATAATAAAAAAGCATAGACCCAATACATGAAAACAAGTAACATACATGATGTGTTCTTTTATGATAAAAAATTCGACTATGATGAGGGTCAGAAGGCACGTCACTGCCATAATCAGTTTGTTCTTGACTAGCTTAGAATAATACAGGGAAGAGTGGTTGGATCTTGACTGTGACTGTCATGAGGAAATGCAGCAGAAACCTTTATTCTATCAAGCATTCCCAAGATCCAGGCTCTGAAATGCTTTTGGTGTTAAAAAAAGGACAAATAAGTGCAAGTGCTAATTAAAGTTACTACTACCCATGTGGAGAATCCAAATAGAATCGCTAAGAATAAAAAGAATAGAAGCACATGAGCACCATCCATACATCATTACATCATTTCAATAAAGAAAATACCACAATATGATTCAAAAAAGAAAACTTGTGGGGTATATGTACATCTTGGAGATAAAGGCAGTATTACTATCTTCCTTACCTTAGAATAAAAATCTATTTCCCTCACTCACAGGATGATCAGAAAGGGTTTACCCCTGTGATCACTAACATGCTAAATAGATCTAAAACATCATAATTAAAATATACAATTAGAAGATGGATTATGTAATATCGTTCACCTCAAGTTTCTGTGTTACAAAATTTTCCGTTCATTTGATTCTCCACGGCTTTGATAGCCGCTACGCGAGCGGCTGTAGCCGCTCTATTTGCCATGGCGACTGCCTTGTTTACTTGCTCTTCAACACGAGGAAGGATAATAGCTTTCTCTGAAGCTTCTCTAGCAGACTAATTTTTAAAGAAAATGTAGGTGTCAAGAGTGCAAATTTAAGGGGGAATAACAATTTAATGACATTTTGAACATTTATATACCTGCACAGCTCTTTGAACATTGGTGTCAGCAAAGGGGAGAGGGCTCTTTAGAGCTCCACAGTTCCATTCTCCTGATCTGGCTTCACCTCTTCTGAAAGTGTATGTTCCAAAACCTTGCCTTCTTCCTTCATGCCATGAACCCTCATAGCATTGCCCATTGGCAAAATGGTACACTCCGAAACCATGAATCTTGTCACCAAAGTACTCGCCCATATATTTATCACCATTTCTAATTTAGGTAAAAAAAAGGTTAATTTTATAACTAGGCTTCCAATGAGAAGGATGACTTACAATTGGCTTAAAGCAACATTTAAGACACATAGAAGTATGAAGGAAAATCAATTCAACAAATATAAAAGAGAGTGTGTCAATAACCAAGATCTCAATATGAGAGTGCCAATTTGTGTGTACACCTACTGATATTATCTCATTAGCCACAACTTAATTGAATTCAGTAAGTAATTAGTAAAAGAAGATGACTTTAAGCAAAGCAAAAGTAACCTTGTTTCGCTATTGGATAATCTTAAGAAAAGAGAGGAGAAACCATCAAAAAGGTTGAGGAAAAGTTTCAAACTTTGCAGGCGATTTCCTATACAACTGCTACTCTATTATGAAAAGAGAGGTAAAGACAACAAACATTACATACATCATAATATGAGTATAGTGCTATCATCTCCAATTTTTATTTAATCCTAAATCCTAAATTTCAAGCAATAAAATCCAACAAGACAACAAAACCAATCAAACAGTAACATCATCTCAATCAAAAATTTCATTTATATCTTACTCGATAACGTTGAAAAGGATCACTGAACTATGGAAAGGAAATAAACATTAATAAAGCAAAAAAGAACAATCAAATCTAACCCAAATGAAATTCAGTCGAAAGCAAAAAGATTCTAAGAAATCAACTCACCAACTAAAAATACAAACTTGGCAACTGCTAATCTTAAAAAAAATTCAAAAAATAGACAAATCATAATCAAACAATCCATCATCATACCTAAAGTGGTAGAACCCTACTCCATGCTTCACCCCGCACTTGAACTCCCCAACATAAAAGCTCCCATCCGAGCATCTCTGCACACCTCTGCCATTGCTCTGCCCAGCCACCCACTCGCCCGCATAGCTATCACCATTATAGAAGCGATAAACCCCAAACCCATGCCGCAGTCCATGGCGATACTGACCGCTATACCGGCTCCCCTTCGCCCACCGTTCGATCCCATAGCCATCATACAGGCCATTAACCCAATCGCCCTCGTACCTCCCATGTCCGAAAAAATTATAAACCCCATTCCCGTTGCACTTTCCTCTGTGGAATTCTCCCTCATAGAAATCCCCGTTGCTGTAGACCTCAATCCCTTCGCGCACGGCCTTCCCCTCCTTTTTCGGACTCGGGTTCTCCACGTCCCCCTCCTCGTCGCCAATGAACCATCTTACCGTCTCGCGGCGACGGAAGAGGGAAAGGCGGGACCTTTTCAAGGCGGCGACGACAGCCGGGGAGGCGATGGAGAGAAACCACAGAGAGGGAGACTGGTAGCGGAGGAAAAAGTACGAGAACACGAGAATGAGTAATAGGAGAAGGGAAAGGATGGCAAGACGGTGGCCAGAGTAACCAGCTAGACTGGAGGCAGCGGCTGACGAGACCGGTGGCAAATGCGGCTTGGCCTCCTCAGGGTCGGAATTGATCTCTTCGAGAGCGGAGAGACTGTGAACGGAGGAGCGAAGGGTCGGTGAACGTAGAAGCGAGGAAGGCGTCCTCGTGAGCTTCGACTTCGTGTTCTGCCCTTCCATTACCACTCTAATCAAAGCAAAACCGAGAGAGAGAGGGCGCGCGCCAACCGGGAAAGCTTTTGCCTTTAATCCTATGGGTCTGTGAGAGATCAGACTTAGAGCAGGTTACGCAGAGCATTTTATTTTGACAGAGGCGGCGGGATGGCTTAATCAAGACCGTCAGATTTGAATCGAACGGGTAACATAGCTGTAATCCAGCAATATCTTGGCCCGGTTCTATCAGAACCGCCGTCCAACGATCGGACGGACAAACGCAAAGTACGGAGTAACACTAGCCGTTCGATCTCCCGGATTAAAGTGGGACCGGGCGCGGAAATACTGCCGTCACATGCTAAGTAGGTGAATTGATCTCATTTTCTTGCACCCACTAGTTCACCCACATTATGCAACTGGTATCACGTGTGGTTCAAATTTGTGTGCATTCTAAATATATTAACGACTTATCGATTTGACGGAAGCCATCTGATTAGATATGAAAAAGTTAAAATACATTATCATATTTGATAATGGGATCGAAGACTATGTGCAACGACACGTGTACGATGGTCCTTATCTCCGGTCTTTTTTTTTGAATTTTCAGTAATCTGACATAGTAGCCCGTTGGAAGGACCTCCGGCTCTTCCGCGAATATTTAAATTTGAAATTAGTGTATGTTATAGGCGTATTGTATCTTAGTACTTAATACTTTATCATAAAAAATAATAATAATTTAATAAAAGTTATAAAGAAAATATATCTATTATTTCTTTTTTGGGAGAATTAAAATCTACATAGTATTATATAATGTTTATTATTGATGTACTTAAGATAGTACTTATCTTACTTGTAAACATCATACAAATCATTCATATAATGAGGGATATTATTTTTTGTTAAAATTACTTTCAACCAATTAATTGAAATTAGTACTATATATTTTATAACAATCAAGAAAAGAATTAAAATAATGAAAATATATATTTTATATAGATTATAATAAAATGAGTATAGAAATTATTTAATTTATTTAAAAGTAGAATAATATACTTTTTTTATGTACAATATTAATCTTAAAATAAATTTAACTATTCATATGTATATCTCAATATAATTTCTATGAGAATAATCTAGAATAATTTTTTCCTCACGTTAGAAATAAAAACGGCACTTATATATAATATTCTAATATTTATGGTGATGAAAGAAGCAATATCATTGAGAAATAGGAGGTGATGAGGAGGATATGGATATAGGATAAGGCATTTGAGGAGGTGTTGAAGTAATTTGAATGGCTTAAATACATATTTCATAAATGCATAGACATTTTCCTTGTTTATTATCTTCATATCTCTCTCACTTATTATCTTTAATCACCTAAGAGCTGCTCCTCAATTATATCATTTTAATTAGAGTCAATTAGATTTTGAAATTTATGTTTTGTTTAAGGGTTGTTTGGTATGCTACATTTAGTCTAAAGTAATACAAATGCAATGGTTTTGAGAATTTCGATGTTTGGTTTGTAGTAAAATAAATTTATGATGTAAAATAAGATATCTTTGAACTCCATCATCAATAATGGTGATGGTTTGATTACTTATGATTAGATATGTTGCAAGTAATCTCAAGAATTAAATCAGTAATGTAGTACATAGGTATTATCATACTTAGTGCTTATAAGTATATGGGAAGTAGAAAGAAGAAATTGGAGATGAAATACATATAGGAAAAATAAAATAGAGAGTTGGTCATGCCATATGCAAATAACTTTGAGAAGTTGTAACTCATATGCATGGGCGGATCCTCATATTAGTGAGGGGGGGGCAAATGCCCACCCTCAATTTTTTTTTTTTAAATTTTAGAGGGTATTTTTTGGGTATTTTGAGTATTTTGCCCCCTCTCAAAAATTTTTTTTGCCATAATTTTATCAATCCTAATCATTTTTGCTCATCCCCTACCAAAAATTTTTTTTTTTGCCCACCCTAAAAAAGAAGCTGGATCCGCCCCTGCTCATATGTAGTGATATTTATCTTCTTAATCACTTTGTAAACTCATTAGTTATTTGTTAATAACTTTTTAGATAGTTGATATAAAAAATCATCCGGAATAAAGCTAAACTGGAAAACCACATGTCACTCTAGAAATTATTAGTCACCAACTTGTACTTATCATGATTTTATGTCAAATTTTTTTATGATTTTTATTATAAATATCAATCATGTTTTATGTAGAAGTGAATGCAAACTCAGTATTTTTATATGAAATGAGGAGATTGATTAGATGAATAGATCAATTTATAAGGCATTTGAGGAGATTGATTAGATGATTAGATCAATTTCCAAAGATGTGTAGAAATAAACTATATAAATAGAGTTATTAAGGGGGAGTCCCAATCAATTTTATCAAACATTCAATTGTTTAATCAAATGATCCAACTATGGAGCAAATCCTAATCTTTTTTACTTTTCCTTTTGAGTGTATGATTTAGCTAATTTGATTTAACAAATTCTGCTACATATCAAATGCACACTTGTACTCCTAACCAATGAATCCCAATTTTTGTTGCTCAACCTCCATTACCCTAACACAATCTACAAATTATTACTGTCCAACTATGTTCGCACAACTACAAACTCCTAACCGCTATCGCCTCACTACAATCCTGAGAACACCTTCGCCTAATTATATTCTCCAAATAATTATTGTCTATTGACCTCATTTTTCGCGCATTTCCCCTCGAGCGTGCTTGATTTGCTCGATTGAATCCTGTCGAGCCTAATTCGATTCAGATCTGTGCTGATTCAGGTTTGATTGTGTTGATTCGAGTTCAATTTTATTAAATTGGCTTGATCAGACCCAATTGAACTCAAATCAACTTGAATTGATCAAATTTGACCCGATTATGTTTAATTAAGCTCGATTAATTCATGTCAGCCTCATCTAAGTTGACCCAAATCCGCACCGATTCGGACTCGGACGTAATTTTATCAAAAATAATTCGATCGCCTCTCTTGTTCGGACAAGACCAGGCCAAAGCACTTTTCTGGTTCCGGCTCTCTTGTTCGCACGCCCCAGGCCGCAAGCGGAGCCCTCACTCTTCCTCCGCCTCTTTCTCACGCACAGGAGCCGAAGACCAGAGCAGGAAACCTCCTTTCGTCGGCCCTCTCTCGCACAGGTAACTTCTTCTCCCCTCTTTCTCCTTCTTCTTTTTCTTCTTTCATTTCTTCTCCTTATTCTGATTTTCTTCCCCATCATCTCCACCTTCTGCTGATTTTTTTCTTCCCCATCATCTCCATCTTCTTCTTCTTCCCCTTCCTCTTCTTTTTCTTCTGATTCCTCTTCCCTTCTTCATTTACTTCTTTCTCCTGTCTCTCCTCATAACTAATTTCAACCAAAAAAAAAAACATATCACACTTAATATTTTCTAAAATGGAAATTTGAGATGTATTTTGCCCCTTTCACTTGAGAACAAGATAGTGGATATCAACATTTACTTTCTCTTCCCCTAAAGATTAGAGATGAATACGCTTTATTCTCTTCTTGTGAATATGTTGAGTGATTTTCTTTCCAAATGTTATGTTAATGCATTGAGAAGCCAAGTATATCTCAAGTTCTAATTTTGGTAAATAGTGGGAAAAGAAACTTTGCATGATATGTTCGATTATCACGAGTTGCATATATTTTTACAATTGGGTTGAAATGATCAATTTATGTTTTAAAGAAATGTATAAATGCTATGATCGTATAGAAGTATAGAAGTCTATCTTTTGGTGAATTTCATTAGTGTTTTGAGAGAGATGCGATGTATGGAAGTTTATCTTTTGGTTTCTTCTTGAAAGAATCATAATCAGTGGTAATAGATTTGCATACATTATACTTTAATGTTACATATATATTTGATATCATGTAAATGTAGAAGCTTGTAATTATATTATATAACTTCAATTGTTTTATGCTTCAACCATTAGTATACATTGATTATGTTGAAGGAATCAGTAGGAACCTTCAAAATACTACAAACAGAGAGCAAAGAGGATCAAAGGGATAATGAAACAGATGGCAGAAACTTTACTGTTCATCTTTCTTTGTTACTTCCTCTAGCCATACACGAGTATAAATAAGAGCAGTTGGTTAGTGATCAACCGTTGTGATGCTACAACAGTAATCAAACGGTGAGAATTACAAAGTACAGGGAATGACATAGTAAGTGGAGCAGCCTCACAATAGGCAAGCCGACTTATGCATAAGCATGAGTATGTATCAATTTTCCTTGTCAGCCTCCCTCAAGGTAACAATAGATGGTTGTATTGTTATCTTGTTTCGTAACTGAGAATGTCGAGCAGCACTGAGAGATTTTGTGAACAGGTCAGCAGGTTGATCTTGAGAGCAAATATGTTGCACCGAGATGAACTTGGAGTTAATACAATCCCTAATGAAATGAGCATCAATCTCTATGTGCTTAGTCCTTGCATGAAAAATAGGATTATTAGTCAAAGCAAGAGCGGAGACATTATCACAAAAGAGTTTTGTTGGTGCAGGTTGATGAATTTGAAATTCAGATAGAAGGCGGCGAAGCCAAATATCACAAGCAGCTGTGGATAATGCTAGATACTCTGCTTTAGTGGAAGAACGAGCAACCGATGATTGTTTCTTAACAATCCAAGATATAAGGTTTTTGCCAAGAAATGCACAGTAACCTGTTATTGAACGTCTGTCACAGTGATCCGTGGCCCAATCTGAATCAACAAATCCCGTTAGCACAAGTTAGGAAGATTGAATTGGCAGCCCAAATGATAAATTGCCTTTCACATAGCGGAGAACACGATTAAGAAGGTTATAATGTGATTGGAGTGGATTGTGCATTTTTGACAGAGATAGTTCACAGCATACAGAAGATCTGGACAAGTAATCGTCAAATATTGGAGAGCTCCAGTGAGCTGCCTATAGTGCTCTGGACATTCATAAGCAGAGTCATATTCAAAATTAGTTAGAAATTTGGTCGGTAGAGGCGTGCCTACCGGCTTGCAGTCCACCATAGCAGCTTTATGTAGAAGTTCTGAGGCATATCGCATTTGAGACAAATGAATGCCAGTGGATGTATATGTGACTTGCAAGTCAAGGAAATAATTTACACAGCCCAAATTTCTCATGGAGAATTGATTCTATAGAGCAGCGAGTAACTTGGCTATTTCCATGGAAGAATTACCAGTGAGAAGAATGTCATCAACGTATACCAAGATGTATAGCTGCGCTGAATTGTGATGCATCATTAGCAGGGATGGGTCGGCAGTGCTAGAGCGAAAACCATATTGAATGAGGTATGACGAAAACGTCGAAAACCACTATCGAGGTGCCTATTTGAGCCCATAGATTGCCTTTTTTAAGAGACAAACATGATTCGGAAATTGTTTGTCGATGAAACCTAGCGGTTGCTTCATGTAGACCACTTCTTGAAGAGGGCCATGCAAGAATGTATTAGAAACATCTAATTGTAGAATTTGCCAATTATTTGTCACCGCAATGGTCAAAAGAATGCAGATGGTAGGAAATTTTGCTACGGGGCTAAACGTTTCAAGATAGTCCAACCCGTATTCTTGCTTGAATCCTTGAGCCACAAGACGAGCCTTGTAGCGAGCTATAGATCCATCCGCATTGAATTTTGTTTTGAATATCCATTTGGAGCCCAAAATATTAATATTTGGAGCTGGTGGTACAAGTACCCACGTACCTTGTTTTTGAAGGGCTTCAAATTCATTGCTCATGGTTGCTCTCCAAGCAAATGCTGACTAGCTTGTACAAATCCCGTGGGATTAGGAGGAATGATAGTGGTATGTAGGTCAAGTATTTGTCTCGGTTTAAGATTGCCAGTTTGTGCTCTTGTAACCATGGAATGCCAAGGAGGTGTGGAACAAGCAGGTGGGCAAGTAGCTGAAGAAATATTAGATAACGAAGTGGTGTTTAGGAATATAATCTATGGAGTGATGTATGGGAGAAGGTTCAGTTGATGGTGGAATTGCTGAATTGAGTGAAGTGTTTGTATTAGAGAAGGGTGTTATGGATGAGACAGGTACAAGGGTTGATGGTATAAGATTGGGAATATGTTCTGTGGTTGGAGGGGAAGTATTAGTGTGAGAAGTTCGAAGAGGAAAATTATTTTCATGAAAATGAACATGTCTAGAAATATATACTTTGTTGGAGCTCAAATCTAGACATTTCTAGCCTTTGGCTTGAGAAGCATAACCAAGAAAAATATAGCGAGTGGAGCGAGGAGCAAACTTGTGTGACAATTGAGTAGGAAACCATGGGTAACATAGACATCCAAACACTCAGAGATGAGCATAGTTTGGGATCTGCTTGTATAATAGTTCATATGGTGAAATATTATGAGTAATATGAGAGGGTAATCGATTAATTAAATAAACTACAGTAAAGAGTGTATCAACCCAAAATTTGGATGGTATTGTGCTTAGTTGTGTTGATGGAACCTAGAGTGGAACCCATATTTTGAAGTTCATTTGCTATCCAAAATGAATTAATGGGTGGAACATAAACAATCAAATCATGATCAATCTTCAAATTGATAATCAAGCAATTAAAAATAAAAATCACAAAGTAAAACATGTTAAACAATATATATATAGATAATTAAATAACAAGTTGATTGTTGGATAATCTGAGCCTACAAGATTATTAAGTTAGTCCTAATAAGCGTGAAATAAATCTCATGTCCTAAATTGAACAATGATAATTATCACTTAACTTAAATAATCAATAATAAATCATCAACAAATTAAGTTTTGATAACCTTCATTATGTTTAATTTGGGCAAAACTTATATCAAACTTATAAGATTTTAAGAGTTAAAATGATTAATAAATGTAATAAGTATGTACATCTTTAATACAACCCAACCCATCAATAAAATTTATGGGCTGCACTGTCTCAAGTTGTTGGGCTACGTGTGTTAAGGAGGTCTTGATCCTCATGCTAAATCTTTAAAAACATGTGTCCAAAAGCCATATCAACAAATAAGGTTTTATTTGAACAAGTTTTCTTACTGTATCCTAAAATATTTGTTTGTCCACAAATTTTATGAACTAGAAATTTATTCCTGGAAAGCTTTTGATCCATATTTTTATTGTTTTCAAATATTTTTGCACTAAAAAAATATCATAAAAGAAATAAAAAGACAAGATCAGGAAATTGCCACGGCATTCCGTCCACCGAACTCTCCCCACGGCTACGGCGCCTTCTCCTTTCCGTAGGCGGCGGAGTGAAAATCAAAGAAGAGAAAAAGCAGGGAGGCATTGAAAACCGCATTGAAGACCCAGCCGTTCACCCCCTGGCACCCGCCGCCGGTGAAATGAACCCACAGAAAGCCACCGGAAACTAGAAAGCTGAAAACAAACTGAGCGATCTGAAGCCTTGTCACCGCCCGCTTCCACCGCCTCCCCCACCTCCACCCAACGCTGGAAGACAAATAGTAACTGTACATTGCCACGTGTACTCCGGCGTTGGTGACGAGGGCCACAGGGAGCAAAGACTGAGATGTGGCGAGCCAGATGTAGCACATGAGGACGACGACGGCATGGTGGTAGACGTGGAGGAAGGAGAGGCGTTTGCCGCCAGCCAGGAGGATGAGGGCGGTGTCGACGAACTCGTAGATTTTGGAGAGGTAGAAGACTTGGGCCCAGAAGAAGACGGGGCCGGAGGGGGAGGTGGAGGGAGGAAAGCAGAGGAGCCAAGTAAAGGAGGGCATTTGGGTGAAGGCGGAGATAGAGCAGCCGATGGCCATGACGGCGGAGAGGAGGAGGATTAGGAGGTTATGGATGGTGGACAGGAGGCGGAGGAAGGAGGGGGAGACGGAGGGGAGAGGAAGGAGGCGAAGGTGGAGGAGGAGGGTGAGGGAGAGGTAGGAGAAGATGGTGGTGAAGAGGAAGGTGAGGGAAGAGGCAAAAGTTTCGTTGGGGATCCATTCGAAGGAGGAGATAGCCGGCAAGTCAACGAGATATCGCCGGAGAAGATGGAAAAAAGATGACATTTTTTATGGGGACTTGGTGGGTTGGGAAATGGCCAATGGAAATAACGGATGGAGCTTGATTCGGTTACCGTCGGTGAGGAGGTGAGGCTTTCTCAGGCTAAAGTGATATTGCTTTTCAGCGGTGGTGAATTTAACATGGATGCTTTAGAAACCACCTCTCAATGCTCGGTATCATGTCTGGTAGTGCTGACATGACACATTCTCGTTGGCCTTCGGATGACGTTCTGCGTCAGTTCTTCATACAGAACAATCTCTCCTCTCGTCGATGGCAAATGGCTACTATTTGGCTGGTTTTGTTATAGCGAATTCGAGATAACTTTTTTATTGCTTTCTAAATTTGTAGTCATACTGAACTTTTCACTTGGACGAATCTAATGATATCAAAATGAGCGAATATAAGCTTAAATGAATCCAATTCAAGCTATTATATATTTAAGTGCTTGATTTAAGTACCATAAATTATAATGGAATTCAGTATCTTGACAAGATGAATTCAATACACCAGAAGTGATCCAATAAGTGATTAAACGAGCTTAAGTTAAACACTTAAAGCATTACAAACATGAAGATATTAATGGAATGACCAAATGATTTTAAAAATTGTGTGCTTATAAACAAATTGATTGGCTTGACAAGGCGTATTTAACGAGCCTAAGATCATTCACTTATAAGGTCATTAAGATACTTAATTGTTGAATAAATAATCTATGAGATCAAGGGGATCGATAATAATCGTTTGATGGGCTATTTTTTATTTTTATCAAATCTTTCAAAATGCCCCTCTCAAAAAAGGAATAACATACCCTATTTTCTAGATGAGAGAGGTTCAAGAGCCAAGAGATCCGAAGAGTTCTATTGAATTGTTGGGCGATCATCATAAAAAATTATCATCAACAATCGTGAGCACCATCACCTAACTACTAACATCTTATCCTATAATTTGATTTTTGTTGTCCAACCATAGACATCAGACCTCTATTACACTGTCATTGGTTGATAAATTTTATATATTCGTCTCCCCCCTCTATCACTTCTTATGTAATCCCTACAAGTGAAATCAGACAATTTTTCTTAATTATGTAATCACATAGTTAAAGCACGCAACCAAAAGATCAAGATGAATTGAATGCATTTTTAATCTAAAAAATATATATTTTTTTTCTAATTAGTTTGAGCCAATTTGAGTTAAGCGAGTTCATTACGATTAATTCAAACAAAAAAAAATTCGATCGAGTCGAATTCGAATATACATTATTAATATTTAGGTGGAATAAGTTGCCCATCAATGTGGCGGTGACGATTAGCGATCGCCCTACTAGTCTTTGTTTGCAAGTTCTATGTCTGGTTGTGACCTTACCTGGTCTATTTGGAAGTTTTCTTTCTATAGAATTTGTCATAGAAAACTAGTAAATCAAAGTCTCATTAAAAAAAAAAAAAAAAAAAAAAAAAAAAAAAAAAAAACTCTAATGAAAAATCTATAAAAAGAATTATGATGAATATTAAATAAAATATTTTTAAATTTTAATGAAAAAAATTCACCATAAAATGGACATAACTATTCAAATTTCTACGAGAAATGCTATAATAATTGTTACTTCTTGGAACATTTGCAATTGTAAAGAGATAAAGTGCTTACCAACCTAAATTTGAATGAATATTAATGACACATGCAAGAACGAAAAAAGAAAGTGCAAAAGTCATAAGAGATAGGAATTATTCTTAAGGGAACATTGACTTGTTTGTTTTGTTTAGGGTTTAGTCAGGTGATCTTGGTCAAAGAGACTATAGTTGGCTGGCATCAGAGAAATTATAGTCAGAGGGCGACACAGGTCCGACGAACCATAGTCGGCGGGGCAGGAGACAAAGGTTGGAGAGATTGTAATCGACAAACGATGGTGGTTGGAGGGACCATAGTCGATGGTTGACGGTGGTTGGAGGGACCATAGTTGACGAGTGACGATGGTCGGAGGAGGGACCATAGTCGATTGGTGAAGGTGGTTGGAAGGACTATAGTCGACATAGGGGTGTCAATTTTGGTCAACGGGTCGAGTTTGGGTAGAACCCAACTGGACCCGGCTGTAAATGGGTCAACCAAAACCTGACTTGGTTTTACAAATGGGCCAGGTTTTCTTAACCCGAACTCGACCCGTACGGGTTACCGAGTTGGCCCGACTAGACCCGTGACCCATTCTTAAAATGCAAATCCGGAGGTTGTAGTGTTGACACGCACGAAGGCTAAGCTAGCCACAACGACTACGTGTGGTGCTACTCGGGCGAGGTCCGTGAAGGACCAGATGGTTCGGCTTGACCGCAAGTCAGCAGGTGTGAGGGCCAGCAAGGCTAGCATTCCACGAGGAGCCGAGGACCGGCTGCCGCATACGGGGACAGAGACCCTATGTCGCTACGCGAACCAACGAACCATATGGAAAATGGGTCGAAATTTCGGGTTGGTGGGTCAACCCGAACCCGGTCAGTATGGCAAACGGGTTGACCTGAACCTGAGTTTTTTTTTTTTTTTTTTGTTGGGTTTAGGTCGGGTTAGATTTTGACACCCCTAAGTCAACTGGTGACGGTGGTTAGTAGGACAATAGTTGGCATGTGACAAAGGTCAAAGGGATCGTAGTTGATGGTCAACGATGGTCACAGGATCGTATCAGCGAGTGACAGAGGTCGAAGGGACCTTAGTCTGCGAGCAATGGTGGTCGGAGGGACATTAATCAACAGGCAAAAGAGATCGAAAAGGATCTTAGTCATTTGGTGATAGAGTTAGGATGAAGGACCATCAATGGATGCCAGACCAAGGTACGATGGTGATGATTGGGGAGATGTCCAATGGTAGTGGCTCGGCGACGAGGGTTCGTCGGGGGTGGTGTCGGGGTGGAGCTTCGATGTGTTTTAAGCTTCAAAGCTCTCTTAAGTCTCTAGCTCAAGCTCTAAGCCTCGAAAAATCCAAGTCCCCTTTTCATGTGGAAAGTGATAGTCTATTTATGAATTTTTTTTAGAGTGGTGTGTTATGTAAATATAGAAAGGATCAAGGACAAATTCAAAGTGCTCCGTTCGACCACCCATATCAATTCTTTTAATCATAGAGTATTCATACAACATTTAAGTGTCTTAATGATGTTATAATTAAGTGATTTTGGGGTTGTTGGACTTTTCTAGTTGAACTGCTCAATTTGATTATAAACATGTCATATTTAGAGATCATTTTATCATCCAATTCATGCTTTGAAGCTTCCAAATATACTTTGGTCTTTTGATTTGAGCCTATATGGGCTTAGATTTGATTGATTTTAGTTTTTTTTTTTTTTCATCTCTAAGAGATGTTCAATACAATTATAAATTTTATGAAATTGAAGTTAGGATGGTCCATTATTTAATTTCGGAATTTTCTAAATTGAATATGTCTTGAGATTCATGCTCAATCAAAACGATTTTTTGTGATGCACTTTTTTTTTTTTGTCAAGATGCCTCGCAAACTATGTTTTTATTTATTTATATTGCAAAAAATTGACTTTGCATTTGAAAGTGGGTTGCAAAATTGGCTTTGTGGCCGACACATTTTGTAATTTCTCAAAAGTTAGCGACGAATTTATGAATTTATTTATGACAAATGTATGGTTGCAATGATCGAGATGAACTTGTTTGCAATGAATATGCAACAAAGTTTGTCTTAGGTTTCGTTTGGGACAAGTTTATTATTACTTTTTAAAATAGCTTTTTAGCACAACTATTTCTTGAACTGGAAATTTAGGGTACTAGAAAGTTACTTCAAAAATCATTAAAAAAGTTGTCCCATATAAAACTTTGATAAAAAAAAAAATTGATTGACCTACCTCAAAAAATAAGACTTCCTTTGGGATGGTTTCTTACTGCTTCTTAAAGAAATTTTTTAATGTAAAAATTTTAATTTTTATACTAAAAAATTCTTGTAAGAAACAGTAAGAAAGTCATCTCAAACAAAGCTCAAGTTTGATACATTATTATAAAAATAAGCTTATAAAGCATTTCTCCATAGAAGGTGAGATCATAAATCAGGCTTCGTTTGGGACGGCTTTTTTATTGCTTTCTAAAATGGAGTTTTAGTACAAAAATTTTTATATCTTCCATTAAAAACCTACCTTCTCTTCATTGAATATTCAAATATTTCTCATAAAGTAAATTTATTACAAGAAAAGTCTTTCAATTGGTTCAAATAACAAAACCTTTGCAGACATACCCAAAAGAATTTGCATTATTACAACTCCATGGAGCAACCCTCAAAACTAATAGAAAATGATTAAAAAAAAGTAAAAAACCATTCAACTTAATTAATAAAAAATAAGAAGAAGACAAGAATGAAATTACGAGTGAATATTATGAATATCTTTAAAATATATTAATTTGAGGGAGTGTAAAAAATATATGTTATTTTTTCCTATAATAATCACTAAGTTCATCTCCAATCGAAAAACTCATTTTTACTCCAAAATACAGTAATTAATTTCCAATTAGACTCTATTTCTTAAGACAAAGAGAATATTCTATGTATATTTTTTCTCAATCACATTTCTCCCCTCTGCTTTCTCTATTTCTGCCAAAATTATGTTTGTGAATAGTGTGAAGCATATATTAGTGTTGCACTGTTCACAGATGAGAGAAAGCGAGCTTTTTGTCGTTCGATTAGAGAAGTTTTTGGATGTCAAACGAAGGTATGAAGTTCGGTTGAAGATGCCATAGTAGAGCCCACTGCTCTTAAATATTATTAGAAAGTCATGTTTTAAACACGCACAAAATAATAAATTACATTATCATTTTTAATATTATGAATCATATCATTAAATAAAATATATTAATTAAGTGGATGGGTAAACATCACTCATTTTTTCATATTTTGAAATAAGATATTTTATATAAAATTAATTTTTTAAAGAGGAAAATTAATTAGAATATTTAATTTAAAATTTAATTATTATATATTAAAAAATAAATTATTTTTAGATGAATGCAATTAATTATTTATATGTTATTATCATTTCAAAATAAATTTAATAATTTTGAGGTTAATTTTGATCTGAATTTTTAGCTCATTTTTTGAAATAATTTATTTTAAAATAACTATAACATAAATATAATTAATTAATTATGTATTATACTTATTTTAAAATAAAATTTCTCTGTGCACATCGCCCTTTCCCTGTCATTTCAAGAAGCTCCACAGGGTGATATCGCCGGCGATCTCATTCAACTCTTCGGCCTGAAGACATGTAGTGGAGAAACCCGATGGGTTCATCATATGATCTTCCACGAACCACTTGGGCGGCGACAGCTGGAACTCGCCAAAGTCAACACATGAGTCCTCCGCCGAACTCGCGACGACGGAGGAAGAGTTATTGTCGGATAAAGGCGTCGACTTTATAAGCTCAGCAGGGGGCGGAGATGAGGCGGTGTCGGCGGCCGCGGTGGCGGCGATGCGTTGGATGGATTTGGGAGAGAGGAGGGAGGCTGAGGAGCTCTTGAGACAGAGGTGTGCGGCGTCGTAGGCACGGGCCGCTGCTTCGGGCGAGGAGTAGGAGCCGAGCCAAATACGGCTTTTTTGATGGGGGTTTCGTATCTCGGACACCCATGATCCCCATCTCCTCATTCTGACTCCCTTCAAGGGCTTCTTGCTGGCGGTGCCGGCGCCGTCTCCGCCGCCGGAAGTTGAAGGGGATTGGGTTTTCATGGGAGGGGATGATGTTGATGAGAGTGGCAAAGAAGAGGGGTGTAGGGATTATTTATAGAGGGAATATAAAAGGGGTGTGGATGGTTTGTTAAAAGGTTTATTTGGGGAGAACTTAATTAACAAAGATGTTTTAATATATAATTAATGAGGTAATGTATAGTCAATGGAGGATCAATTTTTAAGCTTTATTATGAAATAAAAATTTGGACTTTTTGGAAATTATCTTAAAAGGATTTCATAATATTTAATGTAAAATTCTTTGCCTCTTAAGGCTATGGGAGGAGTTTAAGCAAATTATTCACTAATTTTTTTAAAAATTATGATTAAATTTTCACAAAGTCTATGAAATGAAATGATGTGGCATTTTACAAAAAATATTTCTAAATTTTTTTATTACTTAAAAAATAATGATAGTTATGATGAGTACATAAAATATTTATTTTATTTTAAAAAAATTAATAAAAATGAGAGAAATTCAAGGGCATTAGAAAGTACAAAAGCTAACTATAACATGCTAAAAATATTAACATTAGAAACTAATTTGGGGGTCATTAGCATTAAAAAATTGTAATAATAGCTTTCTTATGCATGGTGTAGGATAGGATTAGTGATATAATTATTGCAAAGAACGTAATTGTCACATAGAAAACTATAAAAAATATTAGAGCTAATATATTTCTCATTCAAGTTTATTTAAGAGATAATTTTGAATTAATGGTGATAATTTTTCTCCTAGGAAGAAAAAAAGCACATTCCATATTTAAAAATGGTTAGTAATTAAATTATTATGAAAGAAATTTTCTAAAATATTTTGAAAGTCTTTCTAAGAAAGACTTTTACCACTCTTATGTGATAGAAAATTTGAGTTAATAGAGTTTATGTCTCAATATTGGACAAAAATTGAGCACACATAAACGATGGCAATGTTAAATCTTGGAAAAATTTTGGAGATAATGGCAGTGATTATTGATGAAGGCCCTCGACAGTGGTAGTGGGTGGTGGTTGTCGATGAGCAAAAACTAGAAGTGGTCGTCGGCGGTGATAGCTTGAAAATAAAAGAGAGTTATCTCAAGTTCTCTCTATCATTCCCCCCTTTAATATGGAGAATACTACTCCATTTATAGGTTTTATAGGATGAGCATTTTGGTAATTTGCACCAAAATTCAAAACACTTAGTCATATGAACTATATTGATTATCTTGATCATGAAACGTTCATACAACATTTAAGTAACTTAATAATGTCAGAATTCGGTGATCTTTGGATTGATGAATTCTTCTCGTTCAAGCCGCTCGATTCAATTATAAGCATGTTTAATTTGAAAATCATTTGGCCTTCCAATTATATATGAAGTTTCTACTCGTTGTACTTCAAGTATTTAATTTAAACTCATTTAGACTCGGAGTTGACCAATTTTACCGTCATTAGGCTCATTTCATTGAGACATTTTGACCTTAAATTTGCTAAAATTAAAGCTTAATTGTTCCTAAATTTAATTCCATAAGTTTCAAATTTAAATATTTCTTTCAGATTCATACGGGTCATATGAATTTTTTGTAAATATATCAATGACTAAAATCTCAAACATGATAACTAATTTTCTCATTTGATATATAAAACTTATAAAAAAAAATGATAACTAATTTTCTTTATAAAAGTGGTTATTGATCGTTATATATTTAGCACATCCACTTCTAAAATTTTAGTATGATAGATAAAATTTCTTAGAATCTAATTAATAACTCATTAATTAATAAAACATGTATTATGTTTTTTATAAAAATAAAGCTATATATACTGATTAAATACATGTTATTATTATTAGAAGAACATTTATAAAAAAAATCCAAAAAGTAAAAATCATTAGACATATTCTTATACCATAATTTGTATAACAAGAACTTGATGTTACCAGCAATACAATCAGAGCCGTAAGTCCATTACCATCTGTTAATCTCAATCCACAAATATTAACCGTTAATTAGGGTTAGGGATTCCCGCAGGAAGCTTCCACGTAAGAGAGAAGGGTCCCATGCAAAGGTACGTAAATTCATGCAGACATGCATGCTTCATCAATCCCTTTCTTTAAGCTGGATCTCTACTGTCCTCCAAAACCTTAAACGCGTCTATATAATTAAGGCTGCGTTTGGGACCCTTTTTCTTAATGCGCCGTAAAGAAGTTTTTTAATACAAAAATTTTGATTTTGTACTAAAAAGTTATTTTTAGAACCAGTAAGAAAACGATCTCAAATTAAACATAAGTACACCCCTTCAATTATTATATGTGAAGCTGGCCTAGACTACTATCAAAATATTGACGTCTGCTTAAGTCACTACAGGAAAATCGATTTTTACCGGCGGGCAAAATCCACTTGTAAAATTTCGTTTCCAGCTAATTTCACGTGAAAGTTTGTCTGGCAGTAAATTGCGCTTCAAAAAGTTTATTCTTGTGGAAAATTTTCACCGGAAATATTTCTGGCATTCTTACGGATGAAAAAATATAAACAAAAATGTCGTCTCCTCGTATGATTATTATATATCAAAATGTTTTTTCGCCCCAGCGGAAATTCTGTCATATACGTTTCATCAGGTTTAATTAAGCTGGCGGATTATCCGTTGGAAATCCCTTTGGTAATCTTCAGCATATTTTTCGCTGGTATTTTACACCAACTTCATATACTTCGGCGATTTAATAGAAGCTTTTTCAGTCGGTAATTTAACGGCAGTTTTTCCATCGAAAATTCTGTCGTTTATTGTCCAGCTTAATTTACGCCGCCTTGAACACATCCTATGCTGGCGGATAAATATCCACAGGAAATTCCGGCATTAAACAATCATTTTCCTTTAGTTAGTCAAATTGTTAGTTAGCTTCATCAAGGTATTATATTATTTTTTTCACTCAATATTCTCAGTAGTTTGATATATCATCAAAATATTGTCTTGATCGGACACTAATCTCGAGGCAAAATCAAGTCGAAAACTTCAAAAATTAAATCCAGGATCACCTAACTCAGATTTCAGTAAACTTACAGTCAAACTGAGCGTCTCGGAAATACGAATCCAACGACACCAAATATAACTCAATCCAAGCCAAATGAGTCCAAATTAAGAACCTGAAGCGTTGTTAGAAGCTTCGTACCATTATTTGAGTTACCAAATGATTTCCAGAAATAACAAGCTTATAGTCGAATCAAGCAGCTCGACAAGACGAATCCAACGAGCTCAAGATTACTGAATTCCTAAATCATTAAGACATCCAAATGTCTGAAGAACGGTCCGTGATCAAGGGATTAAATTTCGGCCGTTCATCCAACCACTCCACATTTACCCCTAATCTCTCACCTATTTACGGGCCATGCCACTCCATAAAATCTATAAATAGACCCCTCATTTCTCTTGAAAGGGGATCCAAGCAAGAAGAGAAGAAGAGAATAGAATGAAGAGAATGAAGAAGCTCATCCTTAACCACCACATGAGGCCCTCGCCTTCTCCGGACCACCACCGGAGGCCCTCGCATTCGCCGAACCACCACCGGAGGCCCTCGCATTCGCCAGATCATCACCACTTCAGGCCTGGAGTTCTGGCAAACCATTACGTGAAGCCCTAAGTTCTGCCGGTACATCACCTGACACCTGGACTTCTGTCGTACAATTATTACTTGTAATCCGTTCGCCCTTGGAGACGAGTCAGCCCATTGTAATCAACTCAAGTTCTAGTGGAATCATTTTCAACTGGGCCAGGCCCCGTGGCTTTTCCCTTTTTTCAGGACTTTCCACGTAAAAATCTTGTATTTTTTGTGTGTGGCCTGGATATCCGTGCAACACTAAAACGTAGTATTCTAACTCTATCGTTGTGTATATCCTAGCCTGCAAGATAGTTGAATGTGATTCACAATAATTTTTAAATTCAACAAATCTTGTTTTAGAAACCGTTATCATGAAAGATAATTTTCACCGTATTTTAGAGAAACATTTTATAACCGACACAGTAATTTTTAATAATTTTATACTTATTAAGATAATTTTATAATATTCAATATTCAAGTTTCAAATTCAAAGATTTCTTAGTTAACCGTCTAAATCTCCCAACTAACCGATGAACTGCATTACCAGCTAGCAGATCAAAAAGAGAACCCAAAGGGCGGCCAGCTGGCTCCAAGCTCTGCGGACTGTAACGCGTCCAGAATTAAGGAGAGGGAGACGCTCTACTGTTATATCACATGCAAAATGTTCTAATGCGACTAAATAAGACAAAGAATGCTGATCTATATCTGCATCAGAATCTTATGGCAAGAATCAATAATTAATGATTTAGTTATAATCTTAATTTTCTAATTAAGATTAATGACAGTGATGGCTAAATTTTTCATATTATAAATATATATATAATTTTATATGAATTTTCCTATTTACGAATTCTTCTGATGTCCTTAAATTCAGGATTATGACCGTCTCTAATAATTATAAAAATAAATAACCAAGAGATAAGAGCTGATCCAAAAAATACACAAAAACTAGTAGTGAATGTACGGCCAATTTTGTCCATTGCCCAATCAGCATATGCAAATGCAATTGCAGAAATATATAAACTTCTAGAGGTTATAGGTAAAACAAGATGTAGAGATCCTTTATATTTCTCAGAATGTTTTTGAGCATCGTAAAATGTTGAATATGAGGATAATGCATGTTTTGACTAACTTGATTTACATAATATGTTATATGGTCTAATTAATGTTAGATATTGTAATGAGCCAACCACATGCATGTAGAATAGGGGTGTCAATTTTTGACACGACACGAAACACGACCCGAATCCGACTCGGAAAAATCCGGGTTCGGGTCAACCCAAACCCGAAACCAGTCGGATTCGGGTTCATGAAATTAACCCGTTTTAAAAATCGGGTCGGGTTCGGGTTGACCCGCCAACCTGAAATTGACCCGAAAGTGACACGAAAACTCATTTTTGACCCAAAAACCCGAGATTGACCCGAGATTGACCTGAAAACCCGAGATTGACCCGAAAATTAGCAATTTTGGGTCAATCCGGGTCATTCGTGTCGGGTCGGGTTGACCCGGACCCGAATCGGGTCGGATTCGGGTTGACCCGAACAGTGCCGGGTCAGTTTCGAGTTCGACCCGAACCCGACCCATTGACCCGAATTGACACCCCTAAATTTTGTAGAACATGGGATTAAAGAATTGCTCATCTTATATAGGTTACCAATTAGTTTTGGAAGTCATTGGACTGAGGAGGGGGTTCACAATCTAACATGCCTGAATAATGTTTGAGTAGAGTAGTGGCATAATTGATTTTATGCAAAAGATAACCGAAACTAATAAATACCACCTATAACCCAAGAAAATTGGAATGCATGTCTAAATTCTTTAAGTAAAAACAGGATTGTAGATTAGTGAGTAAGTCGGTCTAAAAAGCAAAATTATTACCCATAAGAAGTATGCAATCCAAATAAATCAATAGATAAATAAGACTGTTATGATTAGCATAGATGAATAGAGAGGAATCAACATCACTAGCCTTGAAACCCCATTTGATTAAATGCTCAATGAAAGTAGAAAACCAGTGATGAGGGGTTTGCATCAACTCATATATAGCTTTGTTCAGTCTACAGACATGAAGAGGATAATTGGGATCTGAAAATCCTGGTGGTTGAACTATAAAAATGATTTATGTCAAGTTGCCATGTAAATAAGTATTTAAAATATCAAGTTGATTGATTGACCAATGATTAGTGTGAGTTATTAAAATAAAGATTTGAATGGTTTTGATTTTTGCAACTGGATTGAAAGACTCAATGAAATCAAAATCATATTGTTGATTATATCATTTGGCAGCCAAATGAGCTTTATAATGGGCTATTGTGCCATCTTCATGTAATTTGGCTTTGAATAGCCTTTTAGATCCTAGAATATTTTGATATGGTGTTGGTGGAACTAAAGTTAATGTACCTTGAGTTTGAAGAGCCTGGAACTCTTTAAACATGACCTTCCTCTAATTAGCTGATTTCATTGCAGTAGAATAACAAGTTGGATCAATAGGAGATGTTGAATTATGAAGCAGCGTGAATATTTGCTTGGGCTTTTGATGACCAATTTTTGATATGGTTAGCATTAGGTAACTTGAAGAAAGTTGAATTGGAGCTTCTAAAGAAGGCAAAGTAACACATGAAAGCAGAGAAGTTGAGGATGAAGACTAAGTAGAAGAGGAAGAGCAAGGAGGTGATAAGGGTTCTAGTTAGGGGTGTCAATATTTGACACGACACGAAAACCCGACCCTGACCCGACCTGATTTCTAAACGGGTCGGGTTTGGGTTCCAGAAATCAACCCGTTTGAAAAATGGGTCGGTTTCAGGTTGACCCGACGGGTTGCCGGGTCAACCCGCGAACCCGTTTTAACCTAACCCTCACGCGACAGCCCGCGACCCCGCTGCACGCCACGTTGCAGCGACCCCGCCGCATGGCCCACTGCCGCGACCCCACGCAACCCCGCCGGGTGGGAATCGGGGAAGTTTTTGAAGCTGTAAGAGGAAGTAGAGAATGGGGAACAAGTGTAAGGGGTGCAATATAGTATAAATATGGGGAAGGTGGAATTGAAGCATAAGAGGCTGAAGTTTGATATATATGGAAATATGTGTTCATGAAAAAATAACATTGATGGTAATGGTTACCTAACTAGTGGAAGGATTATAACAATAATACCCCTTTGTGGGTTTTGTATACCCAAGGAAAATGGCTTTAAGAGCCATGGGAGAGAGTTTGTGTTTTGACTGAGATGGCAGAAGAGGGTAGCACAAACATCCAAAAACCCTTTAGTGATGATAATTAGGAGCTTTACCATACAGACATTCATAGAGAGAGCTATTTTGTAGAAGTGTGTATGTCATACAATTAAGTAGGTAATTTATTGTTAACACTGCGTAGACCCAAAATTGATAAGGTAGATAAGTATCAAGTATCAAGGTACGTGTAGTTTCAATAAAATGACGAAGCTTGTGTTCATCAATTCCATTCTGTTCAGGTGTATAACGACAAGTTATCTGATGGGTGATGCCATTACTGATACGAAAGTTTTTGAAGGCATTATTAACAAATTCTTTGCCACCATCAATTCTTAATGTTACAATAGAATGAGAGAGTTATTTTTCCACCAGAATTTTAAAGAGTTGAAATTTTAGAAAGGTTTCTGATTTGTTAAGTATATGATACACCTAAGAATAATGAGTAAAGTCATCAACAAAAATCACATAATAACGATAACCATTAAATGAGGTAATATGAGTAGGGTCCCATACATATAAGTGTATTAGTTGTAATGGTTTGAAAGTTTATGAGGTGGAGAGAGGAAAGCTAATTCTATGACACTTAGCTTGAGAACAAGATTGACAAGACATAGAGGTAGAAGCACGTTTAATATAACAATGCTTCATAATAAGAAAATTCAAAACAATAGTATGAGCATGTCCCAGATGCTTGTGCCAAACTACTAATGTGGAAGAAGCAGTGATGAGAGCAATTGGAGAAGGAAGCGAAACTGAAGCTTGCTGAAGTGGATAGAGGCTATTATGGTTGTGACCTTGGAGGAGAATATTGTTGGTCTCCAAATCTTTAATTTAAAAGGCATGAGGATCGGGCCGGAACTTGATACCCATTCACATTTAGTAATTATTTTAACATTTAAATTTATTACAATTAGTAATTATTTTATTTAAAAAAATTAAGAATGAACTTGATACCCATTCACATTTATAATAAGATTAATATAACTTTTTAATAATATACATATAACACTAATCTCAATACAAATCCAATGGTATAAAATCCATCATCCAACAAATTATTTGCAAATAATCATCTCAAATTTGAGGATCAAAAGGAACTCCCGTCGCCGGAATCCACAAATCCCCCTGAATAAAATCAGCAACAGAAAAACCCGCCGCCTCCCCTCTTCCCAACCTCCGCACCCCCTTCCACTGAACTCTCCCCTTCTTCGCCGCCCCCGCCCCTTCGTTCTCAAACTCCCCATAAAAAATCGTCTCCGGCACCTCCTTCCCCGCCCCATCCCACGCCACCCACCCCGCCGGATTAATCACATCCTCCATATAACTCCTCACGAACACCACTCTCGCATACGACCTCCACGGCCTCCCCAAGTAGAAAGAACCCGCAGGAACATCGTCTGAAAACGGCTCTATGACGCATCTGTCGAAGGAGAAGCCGGTCGAAGAGCTTCTATGGTCGCGGGCTTGGGCGGTGATGGTGCCGCCTTTGAGTCCTTTAGGTTGGATAACGCTGTTTTGGAAGAGAGCGGTGGCGTCGCCGAAGATGAAATCGACGGTGCCGCGGATGTCGCATTCGCGGTAGAATTGGCGGGCGGCGCGGGCGTAGAGAGTGTCCTGGTTGCCGTCGATGATGCAGCGGTAGAAGACGGAGTGGTCGGATTCCACGCGGAGGGCGACGGCTTGGCCGTTTGATGGCCCGGCGGTGTTCTGGATTGTCAGGTCGGAGGCGGCGAAGCCGGCCCCTTCGACAGCTGCACGGTGGGTTGAAAAAATAAAGGGGGTTTTACATAAATACCACTTTATTTCATGTTATTTACATATCTAATACCGAAAACATTAATATTACATTACTATCACCCATAAAATAAATTTGGATGCATGAAATAAAATATTAAAATTTATAGGATGGTATGAATATTAAAAATGAAATATATGTGTTATATTTGATATTAAAATTGTATATGAGTGATAGACATATAATATTAATATTTTAGAGTTATATATATAAATAGCATGAAATAAAGTGGTATGTATGTAAATTTTTCTAAAAGGAAATAAGGGGATTTATATATATACCACTTCATATTAAAACTATTTACATATTTTACACATAAATCTTTAATATTTCATGCATATCACTTATAAATAAATTTAATATCAAATATGTTATTTTTATATGTTATTCCTATCATATATACCATCCTATAAACTTTAATATTTTATTCGTTGCATCCATATTTGGAGAAATTATTCCGTGCCGAGTCCGGACAGTAAAGAACCGTTCGTAAGTGGAGTGGTACATAGTGTGTTACACACTGAGTATAATTTTATATACAGTTTGATTTTTTTTGTACACAATATGTACAAACACAATGTACACTCACATCGGACGGTTCTTTGTCATACGCACTCCGCACGGAATAATCTCTCTCATATTTGACTTATGAGTGGTAGACATAAAATATTAAAGTTTTGTATGTTGAATAAGTAATTAATATGATATAAAGTGGTATATATGTAAATTCTCAAAAAAATAATTATAGATATATAATTTTTCAGTTTCATTAATATTTATTTGGTGAATTTAAATTTATTATAATCGCGCTAATATTTTTTTACACAATAAAACTATAATGAAATATATCGGCAACATGTAGCCATCAATTAATTGAATATGTAAACTTTTTTAATAAATTTTATATATTATTCTTTTTTTTCTTAAATTTTTTCTCTCATAGAAAATGAGATTTACATATTTAATCGTGGCTTAAAGCCTTAAAGATAAAATATTTTTATAAAATGTAAATATTTAGCTGATTTATGGCTGCATCCAATTATCGTTATTTTTAATATCACATCACCATCAATTGATTGTTTAGCAAATATAACTAATTTTTGTAATAAGAAAATATCAGATCACCTTTTTTATAATGACAAATTTTAAGCCAACTAAAAAATTTAAATAGACTCAATAAAATAATTATAAATTTCTACGAATGATTAACATAATATACTAAATTAAAAATAATGTATCATTTTAAACATTTTAAAAATTAATTAATTTCATAAAAGCCCAAAACTTTCTTAAAAAAAAGGAGATAATAAAAAAAAAGGAGATTGTCATATTTGAATTAAATTAATTTGAAATCTATAAAAAATAAATTTTCATAATCAAATTATAATAAAGTATGAAACAACCGTTATGATGAGATTTATAAATTTTTGATATGAATTATGTACTGATCTTCATTTTTTGCTTACTAATTGAATGAGGTTTTGCCTGTTCATCACCAAAATAAGAAAAGAATGATAGCTAAGCAAAGGAATTAAGCTGAAGAAATATATAAAGGAGGAGCATTTACCTAGAGTTGCAGAAGTCATGGTAGTCCACCCACCATCCAGGCTCCTGTTCCCAGTAATTATAGTTCTCCGGCTTCCCTGCCCTATAAGAGATATCTTCACCTTCTCCGGCGGCACCACCAGATTCTCCTCATACACTCCACTGCTCACCATAATCCTTATACGATCAGAGCTTCTGCTGGGAGCAAACTCAATCGCTTCTCTTATCGTCGTAAAATTCCCTGAACCATCTGCTGCAACAGTGAGCACAAGATCACTGGAGCTGCTGCAGTTGTGAACCAAAACGAGTAAGATGGATATCAGAAGAAGAAAACAGAGAGTAGCCATTGATGACAGGCCTAGCTAGCTCCTCCTCTGACAATGGAGTCAGCTTATTATTTATCGCCTGTGTTTTTTGTTTTTTGATGTTTTGGCTTTGAAATATTCAATAGAAAATAATTTCTGTATGTATATTGTGTTGACGAGTTCGTCCCGAATGGCTTGAGCGTTATTCCGACGTCACCGTGCTATTGCCGTCTCGCCGGCAGCTCATGCCAACCGTCCTCCTCTCATTTCCGGCTGCTCACACGCAACGCTGTGAGGCTTTGTTTGCTTTGAACTTTGAAGGAGTTGCGAGCTTTACTCACCTTTATAATTTGAATTGCGCTTGTAATTTCTAATATAATATTATTAAGATTTCGTTTATCATGACTTTCTATCTGCTTTTTTTAAATGATTTTTTTAATACAAAATTTCAATAATGAAAATTTTATATTAGAAAATTATTTTAGAAAGCAAAAAATAAGTCGTCCAAAACGAAGCTTACATCTTATTTTAAATTTCTAAAGCAAGTAGTTATTTATAGATTAGGATAAATAATAAATTTAATGATTTTTCCCATTTACTATCTTAATTAATCACTGCCCTCACAAACTTTTTTTTTGGTTGAATTCATCCATTGATATAAATAATACTAATGTTTTAAATATATAATCAAAATCGCTCGTGCTAAGTTCGAGCTGACCCAAGTGGCTAAAAGAAGTTGACCTCACGGACTAATAAAATTGGACTAGATCAATCAATAGCTATATATGGGCTCATCTTATATCTGAAAAGCTCTGTAATTCGCACAAAATTTTTTTTATAGAGACTTAATAATTAGGTCGCACAAATTATAATTAGGTCATATTATGTCGTTTACATATTTACTTTTAATGTAATTCTTTTTATATAATCTTGATTGTACCCATCATAAATAGGAGGTTAGCGTACAAGCTTAACGATACACAATATCTTTATTACTTATCTCTATGTTGAGCAATAAAATCATAGAGCTTCTACTCTACTCTCACTCATTTTCTTATCCACTCTTTGTTTTTTAGAGCCAATTCTACTACAAGAAAAGTTTGGACATCACCCATTGATAAATTTGACTCCAACATTTGTCAACCCAAGTATTTAGCATCATAAAAGAAATGCTTAATTTATTTATTTTATAAGTTAATTTTTTATTATAATTAACTTGTTTTTTACTTAAAGTTTAAAATAATTAAATATAATAAGAAGTGTCATTGGTTGATACCAAGAACGAGTCTTCCCTTTACAAATATATACCTTCTTTGGATCATTATTTTTCTTGATTATATATTGCTTCAACTTGTCATTAGACTTTAATAAAAAAAAATATAGACATTATGATAAATAAAAGGGGATTTACATACTTACAACTTTATTTCATTTTATTTACATATCTAACATCCAAAACGTTAATATTACATGTATATCATTTTAATATCAAATATATCACTCATATCACCCTATAAATTTTAATATTTCATTCCATGCATCCATATTTGTTATATGGGTACTGGGAAGCATGTAATATTAATATTTTGAGTGTTAGATATGTAAATAGCATGAAATAAACTGTTATGTATGCAAATCCTAGCTACAAATGGTTCATAAATAATAATATAGTTCTTAATAAAAAGGGTTGAGTTTGTGATCAATAGGAACTAGGAAATAATGTCTTTGAAGTCATGAATATACATGACAACAAACAAGAAGGGGAATAGCCATACATGGTGGAAGGGATTGAACCTATGTTAATATAGGTGTGTCAAACTCAATGAATACACTAACAAAGGAAAAGAAACAGGGGTTTAAAGATGGAGAGAAAAATCTTCCCCTATTGAGTAATTAAAAATTAATGATCTTCGAGAGAGAATCATACGATAGTGAGAGTCACAAAATATTAGATTATAACATCCCAAAACACAAATGATCGTAAGTCTTTATGCTCTATCATAAGAAACAGTTCACTCCTATATACTAAAAATTTAAAATGTGTAACTTGAATATATCATATATTTTCCCTATTTAACATATAATGATTAATAGGATTTATTTTATTTTGGATAATTAGAGCTTTTGCTTTTATGGGTGCAAGCCGACACGGTGAGTTACATCTTTGACAAAGAACCGAAGAGTGCTCTCGATTAAAGGTGTTTATTTATTTGTCCTTCGGGATTTGGTACATAAAGATCGATTTACTAAACAATGTTCCTTGTTTTAATGAAATGAAGGCTCAAATGGCTACTCATCATCATATATGGAATAGTACAATCAAGCATACAAATATTAACATAGAGAGCTAAGCTAATAGGTAAGTATGCAATGTTAGCTAGAGCCCGCGAGGAAGAGCTAGGGCAAAAGTGTTAGTCAAAGACACCTAATAATTAAGCCAAAATATCTCTTAAGATTAACAATTTTATAAGTTTTGATAAGGGTCACTAAGGGGCTAAGCCTCATATGTTCTAACAAATTTATGAGTTTTTTTTTTTTTTTTTATATCACCCGGGCTCGAATCTCCTCACTCTCACAAATATATATATATATAATGTCGTGGTGCTGCTCCAATCAAACGCCATTTTATGTGCTTATGCGAAGGTAACGATCCTTCTCCCTTTCGAGCGTTTTCCGTTTTAGGTGAACAGTGCGATGTCAATATTGGCGTTGCACTGTTCACCCACAAGTAAATGACGGAAAATTTGGCGTTCCGCTGGAGCGACCGAACGACGCCATATGCTCGTTTGGTGTTCGGTTGGAGATGCTCTAACTTCTAACTCTTTGTACCATTTTATTAAGATAACTATCTGACCCTGGAGCGTCTATGTGGTGCTCTTTAGTTCTGATTGTTATGCATCCAACTTTTTAAGTAAAAGAAGTTAAATCTTTAAACATCGAGCTGCATTTTGGTGTAATGGTTAAAATTTCATTAAGAAACTCCGTAGTTAAGCGTGCTCATCCAAGAGAAATCCTGATATGGGTGTCCCCTTAGGAAGTTACACCAATAAGACAAAACCGTGAAGCCCTTAGACCAAAGCGGACAATATCTCGAGAGTTAAGAATTTGGACTATTACAATTAATAGCAAAGCAATATACCAACCGGAAGATGAGAATTAAGTATCATACAAGACAAAGTGCTATGCAATGTGAGACATCTCTTGAATCCTATATGAGATAAAGTGATACATGGTGGAAGTCATCACTTGAACTTATAAGTGCCACCTCTAAAAACATATATGCATGGTGAATGATTTTGGGAAAAAGATGCTGACGAGGACGTCAGTTACTTAAGTGAGTGAGATTGTGAAACCCCTTAAATAAAAGGAAGCTAAACTCTTAAACATTAAGATGCATTTCGGTATAATTGTTGAAATTTTATTAAGAAACTCCATAGTTAAACATGCTCATCATAAAAAAATTCTAGGATGGGTTACCTCCTGAAAAATTACACAAACATGACAAAACTATGAGACCCTTAGGCCAAAGAGAACAATATCTTGATAATTAAAAGTTTGGGCTGCTACAGGTGGCCTGGGACATGGGTCATATCCGGGTTAATTTTGGTTACCAAGTTGACTCGGATACGACCCAATTTTTAAAATTGGTCGAAAATCCAAATGCAAACCATATTTTTTAGGTCATATTCGTGTCGAGTTATCAGATCGTGTCATTGTTTGAACCCTTTAGGGGCTACTCTGACTCATAGGATAATATAAAGTGCCCGAAGACTCGCCCAACTAAACATGACTATGATCAAAGAACATCAATAACCTTATGTCTTTCCTATGATGATTGCAGCCAAGAAACGCCCATAGATGAAAAATCCCATCCACAAATGGAATTTTCTAAGGTGAGAGTGTATTTGGCTAACGCAGAGATAGGTTCTACGAACTTTTATTTGGTTCGGTCGACCGAATGAGAGAAACATTCGGTCGCAGGAAAAAAAGCCGCGGTACCGAGGTGTACAGAGTACCGAATACGAGTTTTTCGGTACACCTCGGTACCGTGGTTTTTTGTCTGCGACCGAATGTTTCTCTGCATTCGGCCGGAGGACGTAATAATTGTTCTCTTAAGAGAGGTGGAGTGTTTGGGCGGGCGTGGAAGCTGTGGAGAAAGCGCTGCTGGGCGTGAGTCTGCAGTTGCGTCCCGGCCCAGGAGGAACAAGTTGTTCGCGTGTTTCACAAGCTAAAAATACCAAAGTGTTCAAAGCCGTAAAACAAGGCTGCATCAAATAAATGGGAAGTAAAATTTGAAAGACCTTTTAATAAGATTTTTTTTTAAAGGAAAAAGTTTTAATAAGAAAGATGATTAAGTAATAAGTTTATTATTTAATATGTCATAAAAAAGTTACAAAATTAAGTTCAGGATCATATGAACTCCGATTTCAAAAAACTAATAGTTGAACTGACCACCTCGATGGGATGACCAATGTTCGGCCCTCCAACTACCATCTCATGAATATAGTCCCTTGAACTCTATTGCCCAACTATGATACTCGCTAGGGGTGTCAATATTTGATACGACCCGAAAATCCGACTCGAACCTGACCCAAAAATTTCGAGTTAGGGTCAACCCGAACCCGAAACGGGTCGGGTTTGGGTTAACCATTTCAACCCGTTTCAAAAATTGGGTCAGGTTTGGGTTAACCCTTTGACTAGAAATTGACCCGATTTTAACCCGACAACCCAAGATTGACCCATTTTTGACCCGAAAAAGAGATGGACACATTTTTTACCCGAAAACTAGCCTTTTTTTTGGAAACGGGTCATTCGGGTCGTGTCGGGATAACCCGGACCCAAAACGGGACGGGTTAGAGTCAGGAAAACTGACCCATTTTCAAAAACGGATTGAATTCGAGTTGACCCGAATAGTGCAGGGTCAAACCCGACCCGTGACCCGAAATTGACACCCCTAAATACTCCCACTCCCGTCACTTGACTATTATCCATTAACCTCTATCACTAGACTATAGTCCTTCAAATTTACAATTATTGAAAATCAAAATGAGATTAAATTACTTACAAACTTTTACTAACTAAAACATGGGCGAAAATGACCAAAACTCACTCTCTCTCTCTCTCTTCCCATTTCCTCTTCATCTCTCTTTCCTTCTCTTCTTCCACACCAAGCCACATTGGAATGAGTGGAGGCTTTTAGTGCTTAGGATTTGATTTATATAAATATTATTATTATTAATGACCTAACCGCAACTCTCCGACCCAATGCCGCAACAAAGATGCTGAATTTAAACTTACTATAAAACAAATACTTCAATGTCGCACGACAATTTCTGGCTCCACTGTGATCTATTTCTATGTTAGAGAGCTTCAGTTCAAATAAAACTTCAAATTTTCATTTTAAAATATTTGTTCATATTTTGAATTGTTACATAAGATCATTTAATCAACGTCACCCGACTACAATCCTTCAATCAATAGTCCTCCAAGTACCATCGCTAGAAGTGGATTCATCTTCAAAGTCTCAGAAGCACCTCAACAAGATGAAAACGAACCTCAGCTCTTCAATATCAAATCAAATATCATGAATGGAGGTTGCAGGAGGGACTGATGAAGTTTCTGCTTATTTTTTTACTGGAGGAAACATTGGCAAAGAAATTGAAATAATTTGCAGACAGATCATTTGGTGAGCTATCTTATAACAATCTATATATAATTATCTGCAAAAGAGGTCTATGTTTCACACACAAACCCAGTCATCTCATTCAAAGGAATAACAGAGACTTTCAGGTTCATTTGATTTGTGCCTACTGAAAGTTCCAAATCCTGCGCATAATATATTCATATTGAGACTAATAAGATTAAAGAATGATAAAGAGCATGCACAAAAATTTTGGTTACAAGAATCTTTCTTTCTCACTAGTCAGATTGCCAAACGGTCAAAATTATCTAGCACTTTTAAGGCTTTGTTTGGGACAGCATTAGACCAATATTGTTTTCATACTTTTAAGAGATTTTTGTACTAAAACGTAACTTTATAAAGCAATACGAAAACCGTCCCAAACAAAGCCTAAATTCAAGCTCTTATATGCTTCAATAATATATCCATCTTATTAGAGCTCTCAATAATAGTCAGCAACAGAAAAAGGGGAAACTATTAGTAATTGCCTAATTGGATTTCCATTGGTTCAGCACAAGAAACTTATTTTTCTTTTGCTAGTTGTTTGAGGATTTGCAAATCATGGTACAGAAGTCAATGCAAATCAATAGCAAGTAAAGAAGGATCAGCCATCCCACAAACTACAATCATGCATGATCTTGAGGGAATAAAAAAGGACTGTCCATGGCGCTTAGAAATCAGTATTGGCATAAAAAATCACTGTAAATGAAATAAGCATCTCTCAGATGAAGAAATAACCATGGAGAATCATAACACATACATTGCTTGAAAATTTGCAATCAAGATAATAAAAAACTCACACCTTTGCTGATTCATTAGCTAACCCTAATATCAAACCCAACATCTCATTATTTTGATATCATGCTTGAGAGAAACCATTAATGATTCCTCTTTAGGTACTTCAATTACAGATGTGACAGTCCTAATAGAACCATTCATAATATACCTCAACGTCTAAAGATCTAAAAAAATCTCAAAATTATTTAGGATGCATTATAGCAAATATTCAATTAGTAGAATATTTATTGTCCTTTTATTGCACTTTTACAAATGCTCAGCAAAAGGGCAGGAAAAGTACAATTATGAATGCATATTTATTACTCTTTTGCTGAGTATTTGCAAAAGCGCAACAAAAAGGAAACTAAATGACAGTCAATTCGGATGATTCTCGCCATCCGGTCTCCTTACAGAATAATTTATTAGAGTAGAGTTTCTAACGCAAGCTAAGATGAGATGCAAGAAAAGAAAACAATAAAAATCACAATCGGCAAGTTAACTCATAATTTTAACAAAAACTTGTCTTAATATAAGAGATGCAAAGATGCATTGTTTATTCAAGAAGATTATTTAATAATCACCCAAAATCTAAACTTCATAAGAAAATTGTGTGACAAACATAAAATCAACAACGAACAAAGTTTAGGAACATATCTCATTTGCCATGAGTTGGTGAATGCTTGATCTTCTTGATGCCTTGATCCAGGCACCGCCAAGAAATTGTCGGTATTTCACTAGAGATATGTATCATTTAGCTAGTGATTAGAGATCCTTACCATCACCAATGCGTTGTTGTTGGGTTCGTAAGAATGAACTCCTTAAGTTGACTAGTGCAAACGAGCTCATTGACCAGGTTTCGAAGGTGTTTGTATCCTCTATTTGATCGGTCTAATGGAGAGTTCTAACACTCCTAGGGTGTTCTTGGTGTGTGGGGCCTCATTTGACAAGGAATTGTTATAATCTTTAGCATTGATGTCCTTGTTGGCGAGTTCAAACAACTTGACCAACAACTGGAGTTGCTTCATCCCAAAGGCATGTATAAAAGGTTCAACCCTAAGACATTGGTAAGTGTGGCTGTGCCATAGCCTATTCGAGCCTCTCACTTCAGAAGTGGAGAGATTCCATCATTCTCATTTCTCGTCACAATTTTTGGAGGCCCTGTGAATTCTTTGAAGGCTTATGAGCATTTGTGAATTATGTGATAAAAGATTTCGCAAAGTCGGTGTACAACCTTCATTGAAAAGCTGGAGATATGATAGCCATCAAAGTGATTCATCTTTAAAGAAGAATGGATCAATACACAACACTTCATGGTGTCAGTAACAACAAATAGGGATATTGTTGACTTGAAAGAGGTGATGTGATCGATTAGATCTAGCTTAAGGAATAGTGATTTTGATCCCCAACAAGATCCTAGATTTCGTCATCTACATGCTCGCTACCATTGAAAGAATGTTGAATACTAAGTTATCGGATGGAGCTTGAATACGCCTTAGCATGCGTATTCTGAATCTTGGTGGCCACATATCTTTGGTTTTTTCCAAAGAGATGGCATTTGTATGTTGGGTAATACACCCATTTCTCTTATAATGAGTCATGCTGGTATTGCTGTGTGATAGGAAATACTTGAATATTTCAAGAAGAATAGGGAAAAATAGTAAGAAAAACACACAAAAATCTGATGGAAAAATCTCCAAATTAAAATTAGATTGCAAAAGAGAGAACTAACAGAAACAACAAAGCAAAGATACAATTGATCCTCAATTTGAGAGGAGGATCGTCTCTCCCAATCTGTAGATGAATCTAGAGCCAAAGACACCAAGAAGAACCCTCACAAGAACACAATAATCAAAACATAACCCTAACCCTAATTCCCTCATCCTACTTAAAACATACAATTAATTAATCAAGCCAAAAGACTAAGGAGCTCTTGCCGCCCCCCTTCTATCCCTCCAAAGAGTTTGAATTTGAAGTATTGGAGGACCCCACTCTTCTCCATCTTTCTTTGCCATCGCCCCTCCTAGAGTAAAAATGAACTGGTCCCTAAGGTACCGGTCTAACAATACCATTATCCCAAAGAATCACCTTGTCCTCAAGGTGAAAACAAGAAAACTGATGTTTCACCCTCTCGTATGGCTCCCATGTGGCATCGTAGTTCGGGAGATTCTTCTACTCCTTAGTTCCATCTCCTCTCTGGCGAACCCCCATCAACTCCAAAGGTTTCAAATCACCTCTAAATCTTCAGTGAGTATCACCGATAACTTCGAACTGGTTGCATAATCTCCAATGACCCTTCTCAACTGGGATACACAGAAAACAGGATGTATAGTAGTCGTTGGTGGTAGTTTCAGCCGGTATGCCACCGCCCCAATCCTCTCCAATATCTCATATGGCCCAAAGTATCTAGGGGCAAGCTTCTCATTCCTCTTGTTGGCGAATGTCTTTTATCTATATGGTCGGAGCTTTAAGAACAACTTCTCCCCTAACCTCAAATTGGATATCCTTCCTATGCTCATCTGTCTGTTTCTTCATAATCTGTTAAACTCTCAATAGATACCTGATGAGGACATCAAGACATGAAAAAATCTACTAGAGGCATGGTCGTCGATCAACAACCACGATTATATCATGCTACTTATGATTTTCATATTTATGATTGATGTATTATTATTTTTTTATTTATGAAGTTTATTATAGTTTTTCTTTTTTTGCCCTTAAGGGCTTAAGTATGTGTAAGCCCTAGGGGCATTGTAGTACTTTTTATTTTCTCATTGTATGGGCTATTTAAAGCCCCCCTCTTCTTCTTTGAGAATTAATGAATGAAATCTAAGAAAATTCCTGCACATGTGTTCTTTGGAGAGTTGTGAGAGTTCTATGAGAGAGCTTTTGGAGAAATCCCTAGGGAGGGAAATCAGATCACCCACCAAACTTGAAGACGGCCGGTTCATGGTTCTTCTTCCTTTTCCTTTCCCGTCCTCCTTCCACATTAAGCCACCAACATGACCATCCAATCCCAACATCCTAGCCGCCGGATTCCCTAACCACAATCCACCTTGTCGCCGGCCAACTCCCACCACCAAATTATTCAACCCATAAACCCTAACCAAACCCTATTCCAAATCGCCAGCCACCACTTTGCTTGCCCCTCCCTCATCAATTGCCATTACAACTTTCCTAAATTAGCTCTACATATTTTAGGTAACTCAAATAATTACAAAATTTGAAATTATTACCTAAAATATAAATCCTATTTTAGAAAAGTTTTCAAATCCCTTCCTATTTGAATTTTAAATTAAATTGGGATGAGATATTTCTTCCCAAATTTAATTCCTTAAATCAAGAAGGCGTTAAAAGCTTCCATAAACTCTCCCTTGGCCCCCCATGCCGCCGACTCCTTTCCCATCTACCTTCCTTTTCTCTCCCAAGACTCCTTTAAGGAAATAATTGGAAGCTTACCTAATTTAGATCCTCTTAAATTTGGAAAATTTTCAAACTCCAAATTCAAATTTCTTTGAATTTGAATCCTTTCATAAATTAAGAAGGATTCAATTTGGAAACTTTCCTATTATCCAAAATCTAAATTTAATTAGAGGTTTCCCTTTAAATCTCTTTCCAAATTTAATCACCTATGATTGAAAAGAATTCAAATCCCAATTAATTTTCTCATGCATGGCCGGCCTTTCCCCTTTTCCTCCCCTTTCCCATTAAAACCCTTCCCTAATTTGAATCCAATCAAGCTCCAATCATCTAGCCGCCCCCCTACCTCTATCCTATTCCATTAATTTCCCTAAAATTAATTCCCCAATCAATCACGTAACTCTCCTCAGCCCTAGCTGTCTTCCCCAAGCCTTCCACCTCTTGGCTTTCATCATCTACTGGATTTGTGTGATGTCCAGATTTCTGGGCACAATCTGCACATTGCCTAGGAAATTCCAGATTTTCGTCTTGCTGTCCATACCGTTACCAACTGATGTCCTGCACCCTGGGAGGTCTGAAACTGCTGTTCAAACGCCTCCAACAGCCTAATAACAGCTGCCCAAGGTTTATACAAGTGTTGGAGATTGCTGTCCAGAATTTCTCAAGTGTCAAAGTTGCTGTCCAGCATTCGTAACCATCTGGTTTTAAAATAAGATTGTTGTCCAAAGACATCAAGAAGAATCAAAGGTTGTTGTCTACTTCCTCTCAAGCACATAAACACCACACCGGAGCCTTGTTTATCATGTTTATTTGAGTGAACTTTCCTCCTACTCTTTTATCATTTAGTCACTCTCAATTGAAGTTATTAATTGACTCATGAAAAGTTGTGTTGATTCTTCCCGCAAAAGTCTAGTAATTATTAGGAGTTGTGTGAGAGATCTTGCATAGCACTACTCTTATTGTTAGATTAGAGATTTCTTGTTGAAGCCCATTTCGTTTGTAATGTCAAGAGTAATTGATTGTTATGTGGTTTTTATTTTTTGCAAGTGACTTGGCCTAAGCTTTTGTTATCGCTCTTGTGTTTTATTTCATTATCTAAATCAACATCAAGCATTAGTTAACTTGCTCTTAATCATCAAGCGTGCAAAATCCTTATTTAAATCAAATTTTCATATGTGTCCTACATCATCTAGTATCAGAGCATGGCTAGCATGCGTTACATGTGCTAGAAGTCATCCTAGGAGCATTCGTAACCCTTTTTATGTTTTGTTGCATGCATATCATCTTTTAAACTAGTTTAACTTACTGTTATGTTTGCTGTCTAAATCATTCATGCACACATCTATTGAATGTTAGGCTAGTTTCTTAGTATCTATGTGTTGTCCCTTGCACATAATCTTCATTAGGTTACACTTAGCGCTTCCCATGGACCCGATAAAACTTCAAAAGAAGTTAGATGACCTAATTAACCTAGTGGGCTCTATAACTAAAACCATGAAAGAGAAACATGTTGACTCTCCCCACTCTAGGTATGTGCCCCATTCGTTCAATCATGTTAGTCAGAAGATTACTCACTCAGCTTATCATCCTAGTCCTAAGCCGAAGCCGCAACAACCTCACTTAGAGTCACATAACCGTCTACCAACCTTTGATGGTTCTTCGGATCCTTACTACTTTAAGAAATGGGTTAGACAGTTAGAATACTATTTTGAAACACATGATATTCCTGAGTCCCACTGGGTGAGTATTGCTAAGGCTCGCCTAAACGGTCATGCTTCTCAATTTTAGATGAGGGTAGAAGATCATAGAGAGTCTGGTGGTGAATACCCTACTTCTAATTGGAAAAACATGAGACAAGAACTTGAATTAAAATATCTCCCTCTCCCACCTCCAACTCCCCTTACCCCAACACCCAGTAATCTTCATCTAGAACACTATCATGCCTTTTTTGTTGGGACAAACCGTGGACATTACTGTGGTCAAGATCACATATTCCTTAATAGCATCAGGGTTGCTGCCCCACCCTACAGGTCTTCACCTAGCCTTGATGGCCAACCATCTATTGGGTCTTCTGTTGGATCGGTCCCATATAATTCCCACTTGGGCCGACTCCTAGCCATCTCAGTCCCCCTTGTTTGAGCACATATCCTCTCAGCGTGGTGGAACCCAATTTACCTCACCTCGTGAGTGACTTGCCACCTTTCAATTTAATGTGAATTCTGAGGCTACCCGACCTTTGGCCTCTCCAGTCTTTGACCCTGCCAGTGTAATTTCAACCAAAAAATGCATTATAAAGAAAAAGTCCCTTGAACCTGAAACGAAGTGCATCCATTTCGTGGATACTAATGATATCATTGATGACGAGAACTTCTTTGAGGATGAAACTGAAATGATTGAATTAGACTCCCTGCATAAATTAAACCATGATGTAGGAAATTTAGAACCTTTGAATGTTGATACCTTAGCCCATCCTGATCCTAATCTCATCAAGGATATCCCGTGGGATAAGATCTGCCTGGATGATATTAATTTGATCACAAAAGAAACTAATCTGACCTTGAGCATATTGAAATTGAATTTGGAAGATAGTAAACTGAATCTGAATTATTCTGAGCCTAAGTTGGAAAATGAGCATCCTCTTGTTTTATTGGAGTTTATTTTAGGAGTTGCTCCTTTAGATTTACATTTGAAAGAGTGTATCTATCTTGATTGGACTTATCTCACCATTCCTTGTACCGACTTTAATGTTAGAGAGAGTATTAACCCTTACTTTAATGTCACCTCTCTATCTATTGTGCCCACTTCTGTTCTGGACACTCTATCCTATCTTTTGAGTCTCATACCTACTGGTGACTTCTTGGGCTATCCCATTATGGTTGTGAGTCAGGAACCATCGTCTGATCATGTTCATGATTCCTCCGTTATGTCCTCCATATTCTTGTTATTTCTTGTTAAGGACTATCTCTTTCTTAGTTGGATAATTTTACTAGATTACCCTGCTGCCCCTAGGAGACTATTCATGACCCTAGCTGAAACTCCCTATGAGAATACCCTTTTTGCTAAGGATGTCTTCATTGATTCTCCTACACTCGTTCCCTTAAACATGAAAATCTTATGTCCTCTCATTTTGTGACTGATCAATCTTTATCCATATCTATGTGTGTTTGTGAGTCAGTATATGTGTGTGTCTGTTTTCGTCCAAAATTTTCCTCCGTTTAAAACTTTGTGTAAGTCCACAATCCATGTCAATCATCATGCACACCGAGTCTCTTGCATTCTCATTTGCATTGCATCTGCATGACTTACATAAGGAAATTGCAAGCAAAATGGTGCAGAGCAACATTAATTATAAGCTTATTATTGATTTTAAACAAAGATTTAAAACCTTAGAGGTTGGAGACTCAGTGATGGTGTGGATTCGTCCGGAATGATTCCCACAAGGAACAGTTAAGAAGTTACATGCCAAAAGTGTGGGGCCATTCAAAATAATCATGAGAATCAACGACAATGCTTACGGGGTGGATCTGCCTACAGAATTCGACATTAATCCCTCCTTTAACATAGAAGATCTTGTTGCTTATGAGGATCTGGAGTGTAACCCGCCAAATCCACTTCAATTTGAGCCTTATGTGACCGTACCTTGTGAGAACTCAAGCTTACCTCAATTCCTAAATGTTTCTAAAATACCTATAGCAGAGAAGATTGACATGATTTTAAGTGATGATATTATTTCTGCAAAAGAGAATGGTCAATGAAGGTATTTGATTAGGTGGAGAGAAAAGCCCGAGTCGTAGGACACCTTGTTAGAGTGCAAGGAGCCTCAACACATCGACCCAGATGCACTAGACTTCTACGAGAGCACCCGGGATGCGTACTCGACGGAGTCGAGCTCTTTTCCACCCCGGGAGAATAATGAGGACATCAAGACATGGAAAAATATACTAGAGGCATGGTCGTCAATCAACGGCCACGATTACATCACGCTACTTATGATTTTCATATTTATGATTGATGTATTATTTTTTTTTATTTTATAAAGTTTATTATGTTTTTTTCTTTTTTGCCCTTAAGGGCTTAAGTATGTGTAAGTCCTAGGGGGCATTGTAATACTTTTTATTTTCTCATTGTATGGGTTATTTAAAGCCCCCCTCTTCTTCTTTGAGAATTAATGAATGAAATATAAAAAAATTCGTGCACATGTGTTCTTTGAAAAGTTGTGAGAGTTCTAGGAGAGAGCTTTAGAGAAATCCCTAGGGAGAGAAATCGAATCACCCACCAACCTTGGAGACGGTCGGGTTCGTGGTTCTTCTTCCTTTACCTTTCTTTCGTTCCTTTTCCTTTCCCTGCCTCCGTCCCCATTAAGCCACCAACATCCCCATCCAATCCCCAACCTCCTAGCCACCGGATTCCCTAACCACAATCCACCTTGTCGCCGACCAACTCCCACCACCAAACCATTCAACCCACAAACCCTAACCAAATCCTATTCCAAACCACCGACCACCACTTTGCTTGCCCCTCCCTCATCAATTGCCATTACAACTTTCCTAAATTAGCTCTACATATTTTAGGTAACTCAAATAATTACAAAATTTGAAATTATTACCTAAAATATAAATCCTATTTTAGGAAAGTTTCAAAATCCATTCCTATTTGAATTTTAAATTAAATTGGGATGACATATTTCTTCCCAAATTTAATTCCTTAAATCAAGAAGGTATTAAATGCTTCCATAAACTCTCCCTTGGCCCCCCATGTCGTCGGCCCCTTTCCCATCTACCTTCCTTTTCTCTCCCAAGACTCCTCTAAGGAAAGAATTGGAAGCTTGCCTAATTTAGATCCTCTTAAATTTGGAGAGTTTTCATACTCCAAATTCAAATTTATTTTAATTTGAATCCTTTCCTAAATTAAGAAGCATTCAATTTGGAAACTTTCATATTATCCCAAATCTGAATTTAATAAGAGGTTTCCCTTTAAATCTCTTTCCAAATTTAATCACCAATGATTGGAAAGAATTCAAATCCCAATTAATTTTCTCATGCATGGCCAGCCTTCCCCTTTTCCTCTCCTTTCCCATTAAAACCCTTCCCTAATTTGAATCCAATCAAGCTCCAATCATCTAGCCGCACCCCTACCTCTCTCCTATCCCATTAATTTCCCTAAAATTAATTCCCCAATCAATCCTGTAACTCTCCTCAGCCCTAGCTGTCTTCCCCAAGCCTTCCACCTCTTGGTTTTCTTCCTCTACTGGATTTATGTGTGCTGTCCAGATTTCTGGGCACAATCTGCACATTGACTAGGAAATTCCAGATTTTCGTCTTGCTGTCCTGCCGTTACCAACTGCTGTCCTGCACCCTGGGAGGTCTGAAATTGCTGTTCAAACGCCTCCAACAGCCTAATAACAGCTGCCCAAGGTTTATACAAGTGTTGGAGATTGTTGTCCAGAATTTCCCAAGTGTCAAAGTTGTTGTCCAGCATTCCTAACCATCTGTTATTGCTGTTCCGCTGGTTTTAAAATCAGATTGCTGTCCAAAGACATCGAGAAGAATCAAAGGTTGTCGTCTACTTCCTCTCAAACATATAAACACCACACCAAAGCCTTGTTTATTGTGTTTATTTGGGTGAACTTTCCTCCTACTCTTTTATCTTTTAGTCACTCTCAATTGTAGTTATTAATTGACTCATGAAAAGTTGTGTTGATTCTTCCCGCTAAAGCCTAGTATTTATTAGTTGTGTGAGAGATCTTGCATAGCACTACTCTTATTGTTAAATTAGGGATTTTTTGTTGAAACCCATTTCGTTTGTAATGTCAAGAGTAATTGATTGTTATGTGGTTTTTACTTTTGGCAAGTGACTTGGCCTAAACTTTTGTTATCGCTTTTTTGTTTTATTTCATTGTCTAAATCAACATCAAGCTTTAGTTAACTTGTTCTTAATCATCAAGCGTGCAAAATCCTTATCTAAATCATATTTTCATATGTGTGCTGCATCAATACCTCTTCAACTCATCCAGCACCCTATCCCTCTCCTCCAAGTACTCCACTGATTAATTGGAGAGATGCTATGCCCAAAGTGCACCAAGTCAGGTTGATCCCTAACGTAAAACACCTTGAAAGGCGTCATCTGAGAAGCATAATGATAAGAGGTATTGTACCAATACTCAACCCATGCTAACCACCTGGCCCATAACTTGGGTGTCTCTGATACAAAGCATCTGAGGTAAGTCTCCAAGCTCTAGTTGACCACTTCTGTTTAGCTATCTATCTGTGGGTAGTAGGCAGTGCTCCTCTTCAATATTGTCCCGTGTAATCTGAATCCCTCTAGAAATGGCTGAGAAACATCTTATCCCTGTCGGGCACTATAGCCTCTGGTACTCCATGCAGTCTGACCACCTCTCTGATAAAAGTTGAGGCCACTATCACTGCGGTGTATGGGTGTCGTAAGAAAATGAAGTGAGCATACTTACTCAATCAATCAACTACCACTAGGATCACTGTAAATCATTCTAATTGGGGAAGCCAGTCAATGAAATCCATACATATCTCCTCACATACCCTCCCTGGTAAAGATAACAGCTGTAGTAATCCATCTGAAGACATGGTCATGCACTTGTTCCTCTGACATGTCTCACAACTGACTGTCATCTCCTCCACATCATTATGCAACCCTTCCAATGCACTCTAATACTAGCCTCATGCATGTCTTTTGTACCCCTAAGTGACTCCCATGAAACTCCTGGAGCAAGTGTGAAATGTGGTCAGATGTTCTAGGCATCACAGACCTTCCCTGATATAATAGTCTCCCCCTCCAATGAATACCCCGGGTGGCTACTCCTTTCCTTTTGTAAATTAGCTATGATTTTTCCCCAACTCCTCATCTCTGGCACTTTCCTCCTTGATGGTCTCTCAATCTAACATCAATGGGATCGCTACTGCTGTCACCTGCAACTCTCCCATACATCTGGACAAGGCATCTGTCGCCTTGTTCTACACTCCTGATGTGTATTGGATTTCAAAATCATATCCCAGCAATTTGGACAGCCACCTATGATGCTCCTCTATCACCATTTATTATTCCTTCAAGTACTTCAGGCTTCGCTGGTTTGTTCTGACAATGAAATGACTACCTAATAGGTAGGGCCACCACTCCTGGATGGCTAATATGATAGTCATCAGCTCACGCTCATAAACTGATTTCAATCGGGATCTAGCTATCAACACTTGGCTGAAGTAGGCAATGTGTCGATGATCCTACATGAGCACTGCCCACAATCCATACCTTGAAGCATCTGTCAGAAAAGTTTGACAGAGCTAAGACTGGTATAGTGGTCATAGCTTTCTTCAAACTCTCAAAACTTGTTGTAGATGCCTCCCCCATAGGAACTCATCCTTCTTTAACTACTCTGTTAGTGGTCAAGCGATAGTGCTATACCCATTTACGAACCTCCTGTAGTGTCCTGTCAATCCTAAGAATCCCCTCAGCTCCTTCAAATTCTTAAGTAATGGTCATCTCAACATAGCCTCAATTTTTTATTGATCAGTTGCCACCCCCTCTTTGGATATAATATGGCCCAAACACTCCATACTGGTCTGGGCAAAACAACACTTCTTTAGGTTGGCGCTCAGCTGATGTTCCTGCAGCACCCCTAACACCCCCTCAAGTGCTCCTAATGTTCCTCCTCTATCCTGCTATAAACTAGGATGTTATCAAAGAACACCAAAACAAATCGCCTGAGATAGGGCCTAAAAACCTTGTTCATGAGTGACTAAAATGTGGCCGGAGGCCAATAGGCATCACCAGGGACTCACAATGCCTCTCTTGAGTCCTGAAAGCAATTTTTGGCACATCTTCCTTCTTCATTACGATCTAATGATATCCTGATTTCAGATCTATCTTGGTGAACATTACTGTTCCATTGAGTTCATCAAATAGTTCAACAATCACTAGAATAGGAAACTTGTGTAGTACAATTTCCTTGTTGATCGCCCTATAGTCCGCAAAAAACCTACAACTGCCATCTTTTTTCTTCACCATTAACACTGGACTAGAAAAAGGATTGATATTGGGTCTGATAATTCCTGCCTCCAGCATCTCTCTAATCAACTTCTCAATTTCATCCTTATGAAATTGATGATATTTGTAAGACCTAACGTTGATGGGTGACACACCTACCCTCAAGATAATAGCATGCTCTTGCTCCCGAGGTGGAGGAAATCCCTGAAGCGGCTGAAACACCATATGAAATTGATGGATCAATGGCTATATGGAGAGGGGTATGTCCCCTACATCCTCCAATTTAACATTCTCCAATATGTGCAGCTCCACCAAATAGCCTTCCCCCACCTCTTGGATATTCCTCACCATGGTTTTGAGTAAACCATCCATAACCAGCACAAAAAGATATGGGCTTACAGCTGATCCTTGATGTTATCCAACTGAAATAGGAATATACTTGGTCAAATCACCTTGTGTTTGAAAAAGTCCAAAAAAAAAATAAAAATATAATAAAAATAAAAATCAATCATTGCTTGAAAATTTGCAATCAAGAAATTTACTCGTGCAAACTAGTCTATTAATCTAAGTTAATTGGTGACTTGGTGGGATTACAAAAAAATTCTTAATCAAGAGTTTAAGTTTTTAGTTATCATTACTTCATAGCATTGCAAAGAAAATTAATAATCTCATTGGACAACCTATTTTTTTTAACCTTCAACCTAAGCTCATCCTTTGCAATCTCCATAAATTGTTCATCAAGATACTTAGCTTGAACTGAATCCACCTTCTGCAGAGCAAGCTGCAAAACATTCAAGTCAAGGTTTTTTGCTATCCAGAAATCTTCCAATGCATGCTTTAAATTCTTATAAGGAGAATCAGCTTCATCTTGGTCCGGCAAATTGACATTACCATTTTCAAGTGGCTCATCTTCCTCATCAATGCCCAGCTCCATGCTCTCCTCTGTTTCCCGTTGAGCATCATCATCGTCCTCATTCTCACTTTCCTCAGCACCCTTACTTTTATTCTTCATTCCAACAGACTTCTCATTACACTTCACAGAGCCACTGGCTTTCCGGGCTCTTAATAAGGGAGATCTCCATGCCTTCAATCCTAGTTCATAGAAACTCCGATCGAAATCTGTGCAGTTGGGTCCAGGGCTAGGGAAATTCCGGAAACGTTCCTGAAGAGCACGGAGCTTCAAAAAGAGCCGCCTTTCCGACAGACCCTCAGGAACAAAATCCTTCACCTCCTTCAAAAAGTCAGGTATGGTTCTACGCATCATCGGCGTAATCCCGTTCCTCAAACGAAAGGATGCGACCGCTTTTAGCAACTTTTGGACATCATATCCCGTATCATGAGGAGTGTTGTAATCCCAAACTGTTTGCACCGCAGCTGAGCGTGGTGACAGATGAGCTTGGGATGATTCCGACAAAGTCGAAGGCATTGCGGTTACCCTAGCTCTTTTGGGAGGATTGTTCGGGGTCGTTTGATGGGATTATGAGAAGCTGGAACATGAAAGTGGAGCTGAGTTGTTAGATGTCCTCGGGCGCTTCGAGGGAGAAGGCGACGTGAGGGATTTGATGCCTTTGGATCGCTTAGAGGTCATTTGTAAAGAAAAATTAGGGTTTCGAAGACCGAAGAAATCTATGATTTTCGGTAGAAAGGGAACTCTACAACTTTCAAATATTTACAATATGAATTTTATAGATACTAATTAAGAGGCTGTTTGGTAGAATCTAAATTTCATTTAAGTAGAATTTTATAAATTCTTTAAATTCGAATTTATCAAACTCTGAGGGGGTTAAATCATAAAAACTGTTTGGTAACCATAATGATAAATCATGTGACTGTTTGGCTATTCCATTCAGTATTTAAGGAGGTTGAAATATTTGGGCGGAGTTTCATCCTTCCCGCGCCAATAGAGTCAGAGGATTTCAGAAATTCAGGATTTAGGACGAAAAGGAGGAATTTTCCGTCTACGGCGGCTTTCATTTTCTGTGAGATTTGGTTTTACATTTTAGGCCGTTTGGCTAGATTTCGCCTCAAATCTGCCTCAAATCAGGCCTAAATCCGCATATCAAACAACCCTTAAATGCCCGTATACATAATGCACATTATTATTTAAAAAAAAAAACAATATGATAAATTTAAAACCAAATTATTACATGTAAGATTTATCAATTGAAGATTTAGATTTTGTTTGAGACAACTTACTTACTGCTTCTTAAAACAACTTTTTAGTACAAAAATTTTTATTTTTGTACTAAAAAGCTATATTAAGAAGCAGTGAGAAAGTCATCCCAAACAAAACCTTAGTGTGATGAAAGTATGCAGGCATCTGGAAACACGCATTACACTTTTTTTTTTTTTTACTCTTGATATGTCATTAAAACTCATTTGAGTAAAGCTTCGTTCGGAACAGCTTTTTTACTGATTATTAAAACAACTTTTTAATATAAAAATTAATTTTTTTATTAAAAAAATATTTTAAAAGCAGTAAGAAAGTCATCTCAAATGAAGGCCAAGTATAAATCTTGACTCAAATTCATTAATCTCGCTCAAACTCATTAATCAAAACACTATGATCATTTTTTTGCATTTGTGGCTGGATAAAATTCCACCATGAGCAGTATCTTTACAAGCAGAATTCCTGCTAAGAAGAATTTGGCCCCGAAAAAAAAAATTATAGATGAGTCAAAATAATTAAATCATTTCAACTGAATCAAACATAATGATTTTTTCCTTTACCCAAATTTTCACATAAAATATCTCAGGTCTCTTACAAGCTATATTATCAACTTGCAATTGATCATAAAATAAATTTCTCATTAATCATGTTTCACTTATAATAAATATATCCATTTTTTTAGAATTTACATACGTACCATTTTATATCATGTTATTTATATAACCACCGAGTTATTTTAAGATGAGTGATTAAATTGACATAATTAGCAAAAGGAGAACCGAATACTAATTAAAATTTAAATACGAGCAAATTCGCAAGAGTTTGACGCATTCAGAATGCGACAAATAGCTCGACACATTATGAATGTCCCAAACAATTTGCCGCATTTAGCTTAATTATATAGTGAGATAATGAAAGAGGGATGGACCACGGGGATGAGAGGATGAGGAGAGAGGGAGAGAGAGAGCCGGCTTGGGAGAGAGAGACGAGATCGAGAGGGAGAGAGAGAGAGCGCGCTAATGGAGAGAGAGAGGACGAAAGCTGATAGATTTCTGCCTCCATTGTTACAATGCTCACTCTTTGGGACGGGGCGAGAAACTTAAGGGAAGAGTCAGACATCAAGTATGATTTGGCAAACAATTGTCATGCATTTATTTGTGTAGATCTTCTTGCAAAGAAGACCGTGCAAAGAGGTCAGAGACCTTTTCCAAGGAGAGCCAGTGCTTCAGAAACAGCCTTGGAGGATCAGATTTTGAATGAGACAAGGCTACAAAATTTACAGCTACAACTGCTCAAGGATATGTGGATATGTGCCCGTTTGACTTGGTCGATTGCAGAACACTTTGATATTGAAGGGCTGAATCCACCTTTAGTTGATCCTCTCAACATCCTTATTTCAAATATGCACAATATATTATTCAGTACTGATGCAATCAATTCTAACAGACTTCAAGATGTCCGGGTTGTCCAACTCTATATCCAACGTTTAGGATCAAGGAATGCAAGAGCTGGCCAACTTCTGATTTCTACCTATGGAGGTATGCGAAATTGTGGAAGGTCCAAGTCATTCTCGCATCTAAGGAATGAGCTTGCAGACATGCATCGAAGACGCAAAATCTTCGACCCTGGAGGGTTCATTATGATGTCCCTCTTCCGATGATGCGCCTCGACGGAGTCGAGCTCTTTTCAAGCAAGGAGAGTATGATGTAGGAACATCTTTAGTAGAATTAATCCTTAGGAATAGTCTATCCTTTATTAGCTTAAGTGTATGGTTCTAGAGTCTTCTATTATGGCTATATATTCAAGATATTGTAAGGAATGAGACACTGAATGATATATACACTCTTTTGAAGCCTTAGTGCTTTTGTTTCTTCTTCTTCCCTAGATTGGGATTCCAAAATCCTTCTTGCAGGTCGAGTCTTCCGACGATCCACTACATCAAAGTGGCTCTTCTCCCTTGCTGCTATGGCTCTGACGTTAAGGTGGAGAACCTGTCTAAGGCTTCAGATGACTTTTTTACTTATTTTTTTGTACAAAAAACTTAGGCTTTAATTAGGATGACTTTCTAAAAAGCTACTTAAAAAAAAAAGTAATAAATTTGTCTCAAACAAAGTCATAAGAAAGTTTCTTTAAGATGCATTAAGGCTTGGTTTGGGACGGCTTTCTTTCCACTTCTTGAAGCAGCTAAATTTTTGTACTAGAAAGCTGCTTCAAGAAGCAGAAAGAAAGCCGTCCCAAATGAAGCCTAAAGCTTTCTTTGGAACGACTTTCTTAAGCTTATTTTGGAACGGGTTTATTACTGCTTTTTAATATAGTTTTTTAGTATAAAAATTTTAATTTTTTTACTAGAAAATCACTTTAAGAAGCTGTAAGAAAGCCGTCCCAAATGAAGTTTAGTGAATCTTAAAGCATCTTTCTTAAATTTTTTTGTTCAAAAAAATTATTTTAAGAAGCAATAAAAAAGACATCCCAAACTAAATCTGAGTTGTTGGTTTAGCATAATTTGATGTGCTTCATGTATTGTTATTAGTTAGTAATTGTAATTAGAAAGTTTCATTATTATGATGTTGGCTTTATAGATATTCTATCATTGTACTAAAAATTGAGAAAGAAAAATAATGGCCGTTCAATTTGAGCCGAAATTAATAATTTTTTGGAAATAAATTTTTTTGTTGGATTGAAATTTAAGGAGATCGATATTATTATTGCAATTTTAATAACATTCAAACTTCACAGTTAAGAATAAAATTATGTTGGAATTAATAATTTTCCCTAATTAATTGACTAATTTCTATTTATATTATTATAAAATTTAGCATGATATTAATTAAATGCTTCACACAATAAAATTTTTCAACAATTTTAGATTTTGTTTAGAGCAACTTAAACTTTTTTTATTTTACTTTTTGAAAAGGCAACAGTTTAAAAAATAATGAAAAAACTATCTTCCAAACACTTCTTTTTTGTACTAACTATTTTTCTTACCACAAAAGAAAACTTTAAAATATTTACAAATAAATTCCATAAATTGATTTCATAATTAATTTCTCTTATGCCATATTTTATTAATTATAATAATTTAAAATACTTCACAATATAAATTACACTGGTTCAAAATTGAAAATGAGTGCATGCACATAAAAATAGCTATATGTTAATCTACGTAAATCTATGACCCTTCAGATAGAGAAATTATTCTGTGCGAAATTCAGACAGAAAAAATCATCCGGATATGTGAGTATATACAATTTATACATAATGTGTATCATATTTTTATATACACAGTGTATACACTCACAGTCTGAATGATTCTTCCTATCTAAATTTCGCATAGAATAATTTCTCCTTTAGATAGGATAGATATAACAACAACAATGCAAACTTAATTACTCAAATCCCAATGAAGATTTTTTATTTCACCTGTCATTATCCTCTTAAGTGTGCAGCAGTGAAAGAAACATCTCAACATGAATGATTAGTTGGTTACAGACTAATAAGATCCCTGCCTTGTCACATTAAACTTATATACATCAACATTTCTCAATACATTTGAATTGAATTGAGGCAAGGGAAATAGGTAGAAGAAGAAGAAGACCAGAAAGAAAGAAACTTGAGACTGAACACTAGGTTAGGAAAGCTACTTGCACAAACTAATTACATCATATGAGCTTCATCAATGGCAAGAGAAGAACACAGAGTTCACCCATCATTTCAATCTTCATTATCGTAGTCTTCGTCCTCATCCAGATGCAAGTTTATGTTTGCAAGATTTGATGGCTCTATACCGAGTTTTACAACCTCGTCAGGTAAAGGCCAAGCAGAGTACTCTCCTGGGTTGGCCTCTGTGCTCAAAATGGAAGCAGGATTTGTGAAATCGGTAATATTATCTTTGGCCTTCTCTGTTGCGTCTGAATCAGTTATAGGATCTTCATGTTCTGGTGATAAGTCGATTTCGTCCTCATATTTCATGAGAGATGATTCTCTCTCAAGGTTCCTGTTTAATGGCGGTCGCCCTCTACTCCGTCCTCGGCCTCTCCCGCGCCCTCTGGGACTGATATTTGTGCTTGTCATTGCCTGTCATTATTAACATTTTTTGTCAGGTTAGCTGCAAATTTGAAGAGTTCCAACAGCATTCAATCTCTTTCATACATATAAATGCTGGTAATTTCGCAACTTGATAATAAGCAAAGAAAAAATAGTTGAAATAAGAGTAGGGAAGTCCAAGAGTTGGACCGATTGAAACTAACATAACAATATTTGATGCTGGGGTTAGCCTAAAAGATTTTGAGCCTTTATCATATCAGAAATTTCATAATATCAGATCTTCATGATTTAAGATTATCCCGTACAACAATAAATGCAAATATGTCATAAGATTATCTATTATTGGCCTCTAACAGAAATTATTAGGTGCGGATACCGGACAGAGAGAATCATCCGGATTTTTCTCTGCCAACAGTAAAAGCGTAGTTACTATAGCAGTTGCGCTTTTATTATAGATAGAGAGAAATCCGGATGATTATCTCAGTACGGTGTCCAAACCTAATAATTTCACCTATATTAGTCAGATACATGTTGATGCTACCGCAGATAGTACACTTTCCTGAATATAGACCAAGACCAGAGCAGGCAAATAGAATACGAGAAGATCTTAAATTTACCAAGGGAAACAAAGTTTTTGAGCAACTTACCACCTTGGCAAACCTTGACTCATCTGTCGTTGTATCCCCGTCATGTTCAATAGTTTTTCTGCCAGTTTTAAATATCTGATCAGTCGTGGATTCTTAAAATATATAAATGATCAATACAACTGCAAGCATAGTTTCTTAAGTTACCTTCTTCGGCATATTCCCTTTTCATCACCAAATGATTCTGTGCCACCAAGGTTCGGTACCTTGTTGACAACATCGGTTAAAAAATCGAATGCACCATACATCTTCACACATTGTTTTCTAATACTCAGAAAAAAAAGAAAATTACTTAAAATATCATAACTTAGAATTAGCAAGTTTAACAATATATGAAATAACAAGTTTATTCGAACAAAAGCAGAAAAAATTAAACTCTAGAAATATCAAAATATTAACATTAGCTGTTAGCGTCGCGTGATTTTCTCATTCACTCATTTCACCTAGAAGCTCATGTTTATCTTGTTTGTATTAAAGCTTACATATATATATGGAAATAACAAAATTAGTTAATTTTTAACTCAAAAAAAAAAAAATCCCATGAAAAACAAAAAATAGAACTCTACAGAACAACATTGACTTCTTTGAAAATTATTAAGCAGCATATATAACACCAATTACTACAAAATAAAACTTACAGGTGCAAAGAATTTAAAGTTTTTGCACCCCTTTGGAGAGTTACTTCATAAGTCCTGTCGCATAGGTCTTGAAGAAATAATTCGAGGGCTTTTGCTGCAAGCAGACAATTAATACAATAGGTAAGAAAAGAAGCAGCGGGGAACACAAACTAAAATTACAAATAAAAAAAAAAAAAAATCCCTATTCATCAAAACAACTACATATGCATGCTCACTGTTAGCATCATAGCCTTGTTAGAATGACATTATTTGTTTGACTATTTGCGATGGTAAAATATTTTCACAGGTGCATTTAACTTGTTTAAATAGAATACTTCATTGAATAGCATCATTTATCTAATCCTTAGCAAAGAGGACCTTTTTATAACTAAAAAACAAGATTGTTGATCATCTTAGTCTATATTACTGAAAATAAAATGAAATAAATCTCAAGAATTTTCTGCATTTCGATATGCCAAGTACAAAATATGAAATAAAACAATATACAGGTTATGATGTTGAAAACCTTATTTTCAATAATTTAATTTCACAAAAATTAGTAGCACGGGCACTATAAGTTGTCTAGTTCATCTAGTTTAATCAATGATTAAATATTCATAGAAAGTAATCAAATTTGATAACCAAGTCAGACTTAGGTCATAGAGCAACATCAATAATATTGATCTTTAATTGTGTGGGGAATGAACTTTTTCCACAGAAGAGGATATTAGTTTCTCTTTCTTTATATATATCAAGAGAATTTATCTGTGCATGTGAGAGAGAAACAGACGGAGAGATAGAGAGAAAGAAGGAAAATTGGATTTTGCTTTTCCTAAGAGGTCAATGTTCATTCTCCTCATATTAACTTTGTATTATCACCTTATACAATTTTCCAACTAATAATCTCATTATTGATTTTTATCAATGACTTGCAATTACATATGAATAGATTTTCATCAATTTTATAATAATTTTACTATTCATCAGACCTACCGTAACCAATCAAAACCATCAAATGCATAATAAATTAAATTTTTATGCTGATTATGTCATGCAACAAACCTCATTATTCTACTTGCTTGGTAAATGGTTAAATTTTTATGAAAACTAATGAAATTAGCGACGCAAATTAAAAGCTGTAGAGCACAATTAATTGTGTGATATTGAATTTGAGTACTATATAAAATAGAAGATAAAAAAATAACAATGAGAGGTGTATAGTCATTCTCCCTCATAAAAGGAGAAAAGTCTATTTATTTTTCTATATATATACATCAAGGTCGTGAAAATCGGACCGGACAACAAACCGGAAGAAATAGAGATTCAGGGTTGGGGTAGAACCAGATGATATAATAAATAATAATATTATTGAAATTTAATAACATTACAATAATAATAATCTTATCATTCCAAATATGAGAAAAAAACTAAATGAAATAAAAACTATAAAGCATAAAACTTACATAATTAAGTAAAAGAATTATTTGAAAATCTCATATAAGAGCAAAAAAATTTAATCTTATAATTATAAGAATTTACACTCATAATAACATGCTAATTTTTGTGTTATATGATTAAATATATTTTACATATAATTAAATATGCTAATTTTTATGCTACTAATTTATATTACATATTTAATATAACTTTAATTCTACCATAAGTTTATGTTAAAATATATTTAATATTTATTATAATTCATTTATTTATTAAATAAATTTATTTAATCTTAAATATAATAACATCATTTATTTAATTATTTAAAAAGTATGTCAATTGAACCGACAGTTCAACTCTAGTTCAACCGGTTCAATGTGGTTCTATGCAGAGACGGTTTTCAGACTGGATCGGACTAGACTTGTGGCCGGTTTGCGGTTGAACCGGTCGAACCAGCCGGTCTAGTCCAGTTTTTAAAACCTTGATATGAATCCTCTATGTTGATAAAATTATATTAATAAGCAGGCTTATGGAAAGAACTAACCCATAAAAAGGGTTTTAGCAATAAATTTTGAAGAAAAATGCGTGGAGAATCTAAAATACTCGATATGGAGGTGGCACGATAAGAACAATATAGTGTTATTTCAGAGGAGGTATATTCTTGGTCTATTCCAAGAAACACTAAGGCTCGGGTGTAAGTCCGCATAAACTCCAATGGATTAAACAAACAAAAAAGTTAAAATCACCATTCACATGCATGTTGATAAAGATAGGTATCAACGCTTTAAGGGCCACCTCTCTCTCATATATCTTGAAATATTGGCTTCTTTGCTAGTGTTATAAGAGAACAGACCCAGCTGAAAACCATATGAAAGCTATTAATTACATTCTTTAAGGTACCTTAAGATGTCGCTATGAGAAGGCATGTTATAAAGAAATAAATTCACATATATAAATCAGCCTGAAGATGCACCAAAAAATCACATCTGGTTGTTGTATTTATAGGGAGACCTAGTAGCATGCAAAAGTAAGAAACAATTTTTGGCTTTAAGAAGCAGTCCTAATTAAAGTTGAATACAAGACATCCACACGGGGAATTAGCAAACGATATGATTGAAAAGACTATTAGAATAATTAAATTATCAAGTGAAAAAACTTTAAAATTAGATAATAACAACCAAATTGACATAAGTAAAATACAAAAACATCCACCATGACTAAACTAAGCACATTGAAGTAGACGGATATTTCATCTCGGAAAAAAAAAAAGGCTAGCCTAACTAAATTATGTTCCAACAAACTCTCAAACTTCAACTATCCACAACAATTTTACCCAAAATCGATAATCTAATCAATAAGCTGGATATAATCAAAATATACAATCTATCATAAGGGGGCTTATCGAAATAATCATGAATATGTGGTCATCACCTTTTTATGTAAGAGAATCCATCAATTTGTGAAGAACCTTTCATCTATAGCAATCAAACAACAATGAACATCATCTAAAAATCCATGGACAGCAACCTTCCATCTACAACAATCCAATACTACACAGACAACAACTTTCTATTTTTTTCGTGTAAATAATTTAGATCCAGGAATGAAAGACTAGTTTTAAGTTTTTTTTTTTTTCTAAATAGTTATTTCTTCACCTATCTATGCACAACTTGTTATAATTCTTTTTTTTAATAGAATGAGGGAATAAAACACATTCATACCATCTCCCATTTTTTTTTATTTTTCTCCTTTCTCATTCTAATTTTCCAGAAGTAGAAAAATACACAACTAATTTGACTAGCCCCCACAAGGTTATTCCTCTGCAGCATCACAACATTGAAACCACAGTTTTAAGCACCTCATCTCCCACTGCAAGAGTATGGAAAACTTTCTTAAAACATAGAGTCAACATAAATTGCTCAAATCAGCTACGCAAAATTCTGACAAAAAACACAGTAATATTAAATGATACTTCTATGAATACTAACCAACGGATCAATTCATAACAGTTATTTGAACCTTTTCCTCATGAAAATGTAAAGCAACAATGCCCATGTGTTTTGTGCCATAAAAGGGTTCACCACTATATAGAGAAGAAACAATATGAGCTAAATTAACAGCAATAAACATTAAAGTTCTGTCATTTTAATTATCTGAAAAGCATAAATGAAAGCAATCTTAATTAAGTCATATTTAAGCTTAGTAAATTGCATGCTAGGTACTGTACAGTACAATTGTTGAATATGAACAAGATGAGCTTAAGCAATCAACACCACTTGTAAAAAATGTTATCCGAACAATAGCATAAAAAAGACAATATAAAACAAAAAAGACAACATAAAACAACTAATTCAAAAAATAAAAAAGAAAATAAAAAGTATTATTCAATATAGAAAAACATTATGCACATGTAATAACTGTTTTAAAAAAATGTCACAGTTCAGAAGCATGAAGCCTTTTACTTAGAAATATAGAAATTAATTTTGTAACTTACAAACTAAAAGAGGAACAGCTAACGCGATTTTGCCAATATCCTCATCTGCTTGCATTATCTTCTTTATTCGTGGCTGAGCATGAAAAACGCGAAATTAGTTTTAAACTCATTGACTAATAATCCCACGTCACATCAAAAATTAAAATTGTAATGATGTACAAAGTCAACACAAAAAAAAGTAGAGTATTGGGAACATATAGACACACATGTAACCGTGCATGAATATCGATGTAGAGCGCGCATCTCAAGGCAAATCAAGTGCTTAATTTTTTCTCATGTTACAGCAACAACAAACAAACCTTTATGGCTTTAACCCACTATGTTGATTCAGCTACATAAATCATTTTTCTCCATTCCATCTTACTAAGAGTTAAATTCTCGTTTAAATCTAATAAAAATACCATTTCTAATACCTTCTAATCTAGACTTTTTAGGTCTACCTCTACCTTTCTTAGTATAGACCAGATCCAATACATTTGCTCTCCTAACAATATCATCGGAAGTCCGAAATTTTATGTGACCAAACCATCTAAGGAAACTCTCTAATTTTTTTTCTCATGTTAGATTAAATAAAAACCAAATCAGCTTGTAACAATATGAAAACTCGTGTAAAAGATCTAGCTTATAAAAGTGAATTTATAGATGCCATAAGTCTCCTAAAAAAACAATCAAGAAGCCTTAAACTGAATGAACCAACCTAATCTAGGCCAAACCAACTAACCCAACTAAGATTATAGACTTCATCACATGCAACTCGTACAGCACAAAAGGAGGCAATGGGTGGCAGTGGCTTTAGTTGCACCAATTAATAGGTAAGCAAGACCTATGTTGTGGCCCTTGTCCATAAGACCAGCACCGCAACTTTCTCCCACATGTCCACAACATTCTATTGGACGTACATGACAGCTTTTGAGAGATTGATGAAGGCCATGAACACCATGCCGGTCTTGTATCTACTAAATTTTACTCATGTCTTCATAGTGGAGACAGATGCCTCAGGGTATGGATTGGGAGCAATACTCATGTAGAGCCATTGACCCATCGCCTACTTCAGCTAGGTGTTGAAAGCTAGAGTCAGGCTTAAGTCAGTCTATAAGAGGGAGTTGATGGCCATTGTGCTAGCCATCCAGAAGTGGCGACCCTAATTGTTGGATTAACATTTCATTGTCATGACAAACCAGCGGAGCCTGAAGTATTTGTTGGAGCAAAGGATGGTGACAAAGGAGTACCAGAGATGGTTGTCAAAGATATTGGGATATGATTTTAAAATCCAGTATAGATCGGGGATAGAGAATAAGGCAGCAAATACCTTGTCCAGATGTATGAGGGAGTTACAGACGATAACTGTGTCAATATCACTGATGCTGGAATGGGGGGCATTAAGGAGGAGAGTACACGGGCTAAGGAGCTTGGGAGAATTATGACAGATTTATTGAAAGATGGGAGTAGCTACCTGGGCTATTCTTTAGAAGGGGAAAGGCTTCTGCACCAAAGGAGATTTATGATACCTAGGACATCAGTCCATATTTCACACGTGCTCCAGGAGTTCCATGGGAGCGCTTTTGGGGGTCATTCAAAAGTGCATAAGACATACATGAGACTAGACTCATAATTTTACTGGAAAGGGATGCACAAAGATGTGGAGTTCGTAGCCAGATGTGAGATTGTCAGAGAAATAAGTACATGGTCATAGCTCTAGGAGGATTACTGCAACCCTTAGCTCTACCAGATCAGGTGTGAGAGGAGGTATCCATAGATTTCACTGATGGATTACCCCGATCGTAAGGATTCACAGTGATTTTAGTGGTAGTAGACAGACTGAACAAGTATGCTCATTACATTTTCCTACGACACCACTACACGACAGTGATAGTGGCATCAGCTTTCATCGGGGAGGTGGTCAGACTACATGGAAAACCAGAGTCTATAGTATACGATAGGGATAAGGTGTTCCTAAGTCACTTTTGAAGGGAGTTATTCAAGCTACAAGGGACAGTACTGAAGAGGAGCACCGCCTACCACCCGCAGACAGATGGGCAGACGGAGGTGGTCAATAGAAGCTTGGAGACATACCTACGATGCTTCGTGTTGGAGAAACCTCGACTGTGGGGCCAAGTGGTTAGCATGGGTAGAGTATTGATACAACACTTCATATCATTCGACCTCTCATATGAACCCATTCAAAGTGTTGTACGAACTTGATCCACCTTACCTGGTGCATTTTGGGCATAATAGCACCCCGGTTTCTTCAATAGAGGAGTATTTGGGCGAGAGGTATAGGGTGTTGGAAGAATTGAAGAAGCATCTGTTGAGGGCTCATAAGATTATGAAGAAACAGGCGAATGGGCACATGATGAACATTCAGTTTAAATTAGGGGATAGGGTGTTACTGAGGTTTCGACCTTACAGATAGAGGATGGTCGCTAATAGGAGAAATGAGAAGCTAACTCCAAGATATTTTGACCCTTATAAGATATTAGAGAAAATTGGAGCAATGACGTATCGTTTGAGGTTGCCCCTACCGCCACCATACATCTAATGTTTCATGTATCACAGTTGAGGAGAGTTGTAGGGGATCACACAGCGAGTTCAAAGTTTTCAGCAACATTGACTAAAGATTTGGAAGTGGTATTGGAACCCCTTGAGCTACAAGGGGTGCGCCAAGGAGAAGGAGGGATGAAGGAGGTGTTGATCAAGTGGAGGACCTTCCAGATAATGATGCTACATGGGTGCCTTACGACATGGTGCAACATTAATTCCAGTCTTTCCACCTTGAGGACAAAGTGGGTTTTTGGGAGCGGAGTGCTAATACACCTAGACCGGTCTCGTAGGGACCGGTCCAGCCCTTGGGCCGGCTCATCACATAGAGCAGGCGGAAGCCTGCGGTGCCGCAGGCTCCAAATCCCGCCCCCTTGGGGCTGGAGTCCACTGCCTAGGGAAGAGAGAAAGGGGGGTTGTTTAGTCCTTTTGGCTTATTTTTAGAAATGACCTTTCTTTATTAGATTTAAACGAGAATTTGACTTTTAATAGGACACAATGGAGAAAAAGGATTCATCTAGCCGACCCCACGTAGTGGGATAAAGGCTTGATGTTGTTGTTGTTGTTGTAGGTGTTTTGGTTTAGGTTTAGGGCATCTTGAATATTGCTGAATTTGCTGTTTGGTGATTGGCGTATTGGGCTCCAGCGGCATCTAGAGATTTTGTAGAGATAGATCCTCCTCTCGAAAAGATGATCACTTTTATCATGTTATTTTTCCTTCCGTTTCCATCGTTTCTAAAAGAGAACTACTGTTTTTTCTGATTTGGAGGGAGATTTTGGGTGACTTTTCGTTGTTTTCTTCCGATATTGATAAGTTTCATGAGAATTAGCGTTACCTATCACGATCATCTCTCATAGAACTTGTATTGTTATTGTCCCCAATAATAACTACATCATAATTGTTACCCATAAGACTTATGAAGCAGTTGTTTCCTACAAGACTTACATCACAACCCTCTCTTACAATAACTATGTCACCGTCTCCAGAAAAACTTGCATTGTAGCCGTCATTTAATAAACCTACATCGCAGCTATGTCCTTCAAAACTAAGCCTTTACCATCTCCCATAAACCTATGTCACAATCATCTTTTGAACTATCTTCCCACAACTTCTGCCACGGCCATCTCTTGTAATAATATTTCTAACATAGCTAACTTTCGAGTACACCAACCACTATCCTAAACCCAATCTGCAGACAGCTCTAACAAGCTATCATCATGCATTATAGTCAAGCCATCTTAATTCTAGGAGGAAAGGCAGAACCTTGTAACGCCCTTCACATTATTAAAAGCTATTTAACTAGGCAACACCTTGTGATTTTTCCCTTCTTGAATTTCCATAAAAAAAATCTTAATGAATCCAGTAGAAAGCAAATAAATAAATATCTACGCAATGCTCAAGCCGCTAAACAATTGTTTAGATAACCAATTTTTCATATAGCACTTTCAATAGATGGAACTTGGCCCCACGTTCACATTTATTTCATTCTGCAAGAAAGTATGAATACCCCTCAACTATTTCGAATGTCCCAACCACACCAAAATTTATAACCAGTATTTCTCTTTCTTTCTATTTAAGCAATACTAAGTTTTAGCTCCACAAAATATAGGATTATAATCCTGGTGGTATAGCTACATCTTTAAATGTTAAGACCCAAACTATTTCATAAAAAAAAATTTGGAAGCATTCCAGGTAGAATTACTATAGCGAAAATTTGATTACTTGTTACATATTTAAATACTATATAATGAGCTAATTTTTTTATTATATGATGTATTAAAATTGTGTTGCAACCATATATGAATAAATATACACTATATTTTTTACTAATTAGTCAATATTATTTAATCTTTTTATATATTTTTATATAAACAAAATAATTTAATTTTAAATTAAGTTTTAGTATATTCCATTTGAATTAAAACATATTTTTAGTTAAAATTTTAAGTGTTAAATGTGTTACATGCATATAATAGAATTATTTCATGTTTCTTAACATTTATAATAATTTTATATCTATGTATATTTATAAATCAAGGCTTCAGCCGTAGTATCAAGTATTATATCAAGCCTTAATCGAGCTTTCTATCTAGCATTAATCGAGCTTCTTAATGAGCTTGTTTACAAGTTTTATATGAAACTATTCATAATCATAAGTGAATCAAGCAACAGAATGTTCAAGATTGTTTGTTTAACAATCAAGTATTCATAAAAATGTTCAAGTTTGTTCATGGGTTTCCACATAAAATTTTGGTGCTCGACTGCTGTGTATTTCAAGTTGCTGCTGGATGCAGAACTTTGGCCTATCTTGGATTTCTCCCTCATTTTATATGCAAGTGGTTATGTGGATTAATAGCTAGGATAAAGATTGCAGATCTCTTGTTGTGTTTTGGCTCTCTCCACTTCAATTATCTTTCAAGTTAAGCTTCTTCATCTCATTCTTTTTCGTATGATTTTTTTGTTTGCTTTGTTGTGGAAGTCCCCCACAATGCTCGTGTTCAACAGTTTTAATGAATCACACTCTTTCTACCCCCATATACATCTTGTCACTAATGCCACCAAAATCAAACCTTAGCTCGAATTAGCCCACTCATCATCAAATCACTCACCTCCCCACTAAACTCTTTGATTGTTGGTCCAAGTAATCAAGCCACAGTCAAATCCTCTTCTAAGGTCAAACTTCATTAAACACTAAGCCTCACTTCCCAAAAGACCATTCATGTCCAAGACTAATTAATCCCACAACAAACCTAACTAAAAGTAAGATTTTCAAAGAAAAAAAAAAAAAGAGATTTGCTTATCTGATTGTTTACAATGCGTTGAATGCATGTTTCACTAAGGTCAGTCCAGATCCAAAATGCTTCATAAGCTTATTTCAGTATCCTATTCTATGTTTACAATCCTGCAGAAATTTATTCTTCTTCCTTCCCAGCTTTATGTGCAGGCATGCCGGCAGATAAAATGCTTCCTTTTACCTCTCAAGTGGTATGAGTACTTCTTCCCCCTCTTTAAGTCGTTTATATTTAAACTCTTGTAGAACTGCTACATTTATATTTGAAATGCAACAACTCAGCTTTTTTTATCCTCCTGTTTCCTCTCCCTTGCATCATTTATCTGTTCTCACTACTTATCAATGTCTAGATTTCAGTTTGGCCATTGCTCGACTGCTGTGCATTTCAGGCTAGCAGTCATTTCAGGCTATTGTTGGATGCAGAGCTTGGGGCCTTCCTCTTACCCCTGTTGCCGGCCGACTACGACCCCTCCAACCACTGTTGCCCGTCGACTACGATCCTTCCTACCACCATTGCCCACCGACTATTGGCCCTTCGACCACCGTTGCCTGACTACACTCTTTCCGACCATTGTCGTTCGATTGCGATCATTCCGACCATTATCACCCGCCGACTACAGTCCCTCCAACCACCATCATCTGCCGATTATGGTCCCTCCGACCACCGTCGCCCTACTGTGATCCTTCCGACCACTGTCGTCTGACTATGATCCTTCTGACCTTTGTCGCCCGTTGACTACGGTCCTTCCGACCACTGTCGCCTAACTACAATCCTTCCGACCTTTGTTATTCACTGATTATAGTCCCTCCGACATCTATCGTCAAAATACAGTCCTACCAATTCGATGAACAGGCTGACACTCTCTTGGGGGCATCTCTCATGTCATTGGATTATTCCATCCATTTAAAGTGCTCTTTATGATGTATATGTGCTATATTGAGCTGACGCATTTCCTCGATGAAGGACATCTTTTGTAATCAATTACAAATACTAATACATTCAGTAAAATTGGGCCAAGCCCCATGGTTTTTTCCCCTTTTCAGGAGGTTCCGCATAAAAATTCTGGTGTCTCTTATAAACACGACACCTCACTCGCTCTTATCTATGTGTTTGCTGGATTTTCGTACAAAGTCAAAACGCTAAACTCTATATCTCTATATTGTCGCGAATATTATATACTATCGCGAATATTCCACGATGCAACAGTTGGATTTTTTAAATATATGTGTTTTTTTTTTTTTTTGTAAGTTATTCTTATTTACTTTTTTAAATTTAATCTTCTTTTTTTTGTCCATTTATTTTATTTCGTAAAGCTAAACTTCTAATTTTAATTTATTTAATAGATTTTTTTATTCACCGCCTCTCTCGTATATCCTAGTTTCACCACGGCACAGTTCACACTTGCTTCTATCTGATAAACAAGCAAAATCTAATGGAAGAATATCCATCAAGCATACTGAACAACAAATCATGCAAAGCTACAAAGCAATCGAACTCAAAATTTCTTCGTACATTGAAATCGTCTAAATAATAGAATTAAAACCAACGAAAGTCATCAGCGACAAAAATTAGATCGAAGAGGAGATCTAATAACCAGATTCCTAACCAAAAACAGAGTAAAGTGCCATTAAAAAGACTGGAACCAGGGCACCAAAGCACATATACTCAGTTCAAGGTATCGACATAAGACGCCGAGGGATCTCGGAGGGGAAGTCGATTCCAAAACCACGGATCGTCCAATCCGAGCGCTTAAAGCCCCCAGCGGACTAGAGGTTTTCCACACATCCGCATACTTCTATTCAATAACACAAAATAACAGAATAAATACACAAGATGCCTTACTCCCTAATCGATCTCGCAGAAATCACAAATCAGAAAGACAGGATCGGAGAAACAACGTACCGCCGGGAATCGAGTTCCGAGTTTCTTCCTCATCTCCGTCGATAAGCTCCTCTCCCTCCGGTCCTCCGCCGCTCAATATCTTATCTCTCGACTCGCCGGCGGTTGCTTCGATCCGATCAAATTAGAGTTCAAACGCGAATCTCGGATGACGGAAGCAGAATTGGTCAATGCTTCTTTTCCCAAAATCTTTTACTTTTTTTTTTTTTTGCCCAAATTGCGACATCCCTTTTTTAAACAGTGACACGTGTATCGCATCTTGCCGTCCGACGAAGCGAGCCGGATCTCATAGATAACGTCAAAGAGCAAGCGTATCCCATTTCCGTTGTTATTTACACCGCAATATTGGATCGCAAAACCAGGCAAACGGTAAACGAGTTCCGTAGGGCTGATTCCTACCATTTAATTTTTTAAATGGCAATTTATGAGATTTATTTTTGAGGAAAATATTAGATATATATATATATATATTGTTTAAAATAATGTTTTTAAGATCTCATCACAAAAATTTTATATTAGATATTAACACATGGATATTTAGTATTATAACATCATGTCCTGTTTGTAGAGAGGAAAATAGTCGATCGAAGATAAAGACGATGATCTTCAAAAGTGGTTGCGCACTCAAGGGCATATAACTCAGCCTGGTTTTAACTCTTTATATGAAAATAAGTCATGTTTGGTATGGAAAAATATTTGAAATTATTTTTGTCATTGAAATTAGGCATGTTGTTTTCTATAATATTGTGGAATGAACGTCGTCGAAGGAGGTGTTGGACGGTATACCGGTTTGCGGGACGGCAAGGCGAGGTCCAACCTCATGACACTCCATGAGAACACCGGCCACGCAGGCCAGCGATGCAGCAACTCGTCAACCTGGATAGGATGGTGGGCTAACGACGGCACTCAACGAGACGTCATCACGTGACTCGACAATGCGAACGAAACGACATTTTTCTCGGGTTAGCCCAGGTTGAGTTCGGGCTTTCGGTCAACCCGAACCCGACCCATTTTTCCAAACGGGTCGAATCCAGGAATCCGAATCCGACCCATTTACGAAACAAGTTGACCATAACCCTAAATTTTCGTGTCAAGTTCGAGTTAGGTATTCGAGTCGTGTCAGATATTAACACCCCAAACTGGCAGCAAGTTGGCTGCTAGGTTGTTCTCATTTGAGAGATGACCAATGACCAAAAACTATAGTATAATATTATTTGTGTTGACATCAAGAATCATAGTTGGTTGATAATATGTAGTGGATTTATTGGTCATGAAATACATTGATATTGCAAGTAATGACTGGAAATGCATTTAGGAGTTATAAAGTTTTATTTTAATGAAAACGGAATAGCGAGTTGGGTTCAGGTCATTCAGCTCCTAGGGGTCGAGTTTGAGTTAGTCTTTTTGAGTTGTTTATTAAATGGTTCGAGTTAGGGGTGTCAATTTTAGACACGACACGAAACCCGACCCGAACCCGACCCGGAAAAATCCGGGTTCGGGTCAACCCAAACCCGAAACGGGTCGGGTTCGGGTTCATGCACCAGGCTCATGAGATTCAATACTATATTGCATTATTGCTATTTGCTATAATAACATCATGACTTACTATATAAACAAGGCGTACTCTTATACAAATTTTATTTAGCCATAGTAATTACAGCTTATAATTTAAGAAAATAAATTATAAATATTTTTCTTTTTATATTTATTATATAATTGTATAATTAAAAGGAAAAGGAGGCTGCTTTTTTTAATTTTTGTTAGGCTCCAAATTATAAAAAAATCCATCTAAAAATTAGGAACTTTTATTTGGTCCGGTGAACGTACGTAGAGCTACGTTCGGCCGACACTGAGATCGCGCCACGTAGCAGGCACAAAACGAGAAATATCAAGCAAATACCGAGCAATACCAACAATAACGAGAAATATCATTATGTGAAGACAAAATACCAAGCAATACCGAGTAATACCAAAAAATACCGAGTTTTTTTCTAGAAAAACTCAGTATTTTTTGGTATTACTCGGTATTGCTCGGTATATTTCTCGGTAATGGTCTTCAAAGAGTGGTATTTCCCGTTATTGCCAAGCAATACCGAGCAAAAACCGAGTAACTCAGTGATGACCGAACATAGAGCTACGTCCGGTCAGAGGACCTAATAAAAGTTCAAAAATGAGAGACCTTGATGATTCCCTTCATAATGTTATGATCACATGAAAAATCTTATGATAATATTAAATTCTTGTATATAATTAATTTTTAAAATATGACAAATATCATCATCATATTTTAAACCACCAATCATTACTTATAGAGAAGAAGACAACATATATTAACTTATTAATCATCACCATTATATCATCAATAATGACAAATTAGCTAATTAAGCTATTGCAAATCGAACTAAATATAAAGGCGACTATATAGAAAAAATATATAGTTATAAGCTTATTTTTAAACGACTTTCTTACATAGAGAAATACTGCCATTCCCAATGGTTGCACAGTTTGAAGTTCTCCAATTTGGTAGATACAAAAACAGCAAAAATAATGAATTTAATAAAACATGTTAAAAAGATTTCATTATGATATCAAAATAAATTAAGGTTTCATTTGGGACGGCTTTTTTATTATTATTGTGCCCTAGAATATTCACGGCGGTAGAGAAATATATATAATTTAATGTATTCGCTTTGTACGAAGATCCAGCACGCAATCAAATAATATAGAGGGTGCAACATTTATAAGAGACACTGAAAAGGGGGGAAATCACGAGGCCTAGCCCAATTTAGAATAATCCACTAGTATTTGTAGTTGATTACAAATGAGACCCTTCCTTGGGGGGAAGGCTAGAGCTTCACTTGATGTTACAAATATACATCATATGGAGTGCATTACATGGTGGGAATAAAAAGAATCACTAATGATGTGTTCGTTTGGTCAGAAGGACCATAGTTGATGAGCGATGGAGGTCTTAAAGACCATTGTCTTGCGACGGAAGTCGAAAAAACCATTATCTTGTGATGAAGGTCAGAAGGATCATAGTCGGCTAAGGAGGTCAGAAGGACCGTACGTAGTCGGCGGGCAACAGAGGTTGGAAGGACTTTATTCAATAGGCGATGAAGGTCAGAAAGATCGTGGTCTAGTGACGGTGGTCGGAGGACCGTAGTCAGCAAGCGATGGAAGTCGGAAAGACCGTAGACGGCAAAGGAGATTAGAAGGACCGTAGTCAGCGGACAACTGAGGTCGAAAATATCATTGTCTTGCGACGGAGGTCGAAAAAAATCATTTTTTGGTGATGAGGTCAAAAAGAATGTAGTCGGCGAAGGAGGTCAGAAGGACCGTAGTCGGCGGGCGATAGAGGTTGGAATGACCGTATTTGGCGGGCGATCGACGGAGGTCGAAAAGACTGTAGTCTGGTGACGGTGGTCGAAGGGTCCGTAGTTGGTGGGCGATGAAGGACAAAAAGATCATAGTCGATCAAGGAGATCTAAGGGACCGTAGTCGATGCGCGATGAAGGTTGGAAAAACCATTTTTTTTTGTGATGAAGGTTAGAAGGATCATAGTCGTCGAAGGAGGTCGGAAGGACCATAGTCGGCGGGCGACGGAGCCTAGAAGGACCGCATTCGACGGGCGACGAAGGTCAGAAATATCGTAGACTGGTGACGGTGGTCGGAGGGACCGTAATCAGAAGGCGATGGAGGTCGGAAAGACCATAATCGGAGAAGGAGATCGGAGGGACCATAATCGGTGGGAGACGAAGGTCGGAAAAATCGTAGTCGGTGAAGGAGATCGGAGGGACCGTAGTGGCGGGTGACGGAGGTAAGAAAGAGAGTAGTCGGTGAAGGAGATCGAAGGAACTGTAGCCGACGGGCAATGGAGGTTGGAAGTCTGGCGATGGGCGGAAGTTTGACGTCAAGTAGAAATCCAGCGATGAGCGGAAGTTTGGCATCTCAAGTAGAAATCCAACGACGAGCGGAAGTTTGGCGGCTGCTAGAAGTTCGATGAAAGCCGACGACTAGCAGAAGTCCAACATCGTATAGAAATCTGATGATGTTCGGCAGCCGGTGGAAGTCAGACAGTGGTCGGCCACTAAGCGGTGGTCCGACGACGGCCAAGCTAAAGTCCAGCAGCGGTCGACGGCCGGGTGATGGTTTGATGATGTTTGGGCTGAAGTTCGACGGTGGTCTGACGATGGTTGGGCTGAAGTTTGACGATAGTCGGCAGCCAGGTGGAAGTTCGACAGCTAGGCGGTGGTTCGACGAAGGTTGGGCTGAAGTCCGGGGGCGATCGACGGCTAGGTGGAAGTCCGGCGTTGGTCGACGACCGGGTGGTGGTCTGACGATGGTCGGGCTAAAATCTGGCGGCAGTCGGCGATCGAGTGGAAGTCCGGCGACGGTCGGCGGCCGGGAGGTGGTCCGACGACGGTCGAGCTGAAGTCCTACTGCGATCGGCGACCAGTGGAAGTCTGGCGATGGTTGGCAGCCGGGCGGTTGACGGTGGTCAGGTTGAAGTCCAGCGATGGTCAGCAACTAGGTGGAAGTCCGGTGGTGATCGGCGGCCTGATGGTTGTCCAACGAAGGTCAAGCTGAAGTCTGGAGACGGTTAGCGGCCGGGTGAAAGTCTGGCAATGGTCCGATGACAGTCGATGTGGGTTCGCCGGCGGTGGCACATGAACTCTTGAAGCCTCAGAGCTTTCTCCAATCTTGTTCCCAAGGCCCCCCTCTTTACTAAACTTTTATTGTGTATAAAAAGAAAATACTAATAGATAGCTCAACCTAAGAAAACATTATTGCAACATAATAATGTCTTCTCATTGGATGCAATTGTTGATAGACATTCAATGCATAAGTTTAAGAAATGTCACATTCAAATGCCAACCAAAACATTTGCATGTTGTAAGTGCATAAAAGTAAAAGTTTAGTAGTCATGTGGAAGGATAGCTATGGCAAAAAGAATTCAGTTAAAAGAAATCAATCACCATAATGGGTTCTCTAAAATATCTTCAAGCTAATTTTTTTTTTCTAATTTTTACTTAATTTAGAAGCAAATTAAAGAATGAACAAGTTGTTCATTCATTTCATAATGAATGCTTCTAATGTAGTCCACCATAAATATCTATGACAAGTATATCTCTAATGAAAGAAAAAGCTAAGAATAAAAGAAAACAATATTGCAATATTATCAAATTTATTAAAGTGCATCAATTAATCTATTAACTCCAAAGTTTATAAACATATCAATAGATCTTACATTAAATGAATGTCATTAAAATAAATTTGCAAGTCATATGAAAATAGAAAACACTAAGATAACAATAAAAAATTAAGGGTTCCAAATCTTATGAGGGCTAATTAGAACCACTTATCATTTTAGACTTAGGCTTCATTTGGGACGGCTTTCTTATTGCTTCTTAAAGCAGCTTTTTAGTACAAAAGTTTAAAAATTTGTACTCGAAAGCTGCTTAATTTAAGAAACGGTAAAAAAGCAGTCCTATAGAAGCTTTAGACCACTGTTTTTTCTTTACTTTCAAAAAAAATTTATGCTAAAACGTAACTTTATGAAGTAATTAGAAAGTCTTTCCTAATGAAGCCTTAAATGATATGATTTTCAAAAGAAATGGAAGGATTAGTTGGCTTTCCCCCTTTCAGAAGGGAGTTAAGTCCAATATAATTGGGTAAGTATAACCCTTTGAGGTCAAGGCATATAAGTTTCTTTGAAAACCTCCATTTTTACATTCAATTTAAACCTCCATTATCCTATGTAATTCTCTCAATACAAAGTTATTATTGATAGTAAAATATAAATCTTAAAATTGAATCAACATGAACATAAACTTTCTTTCTGTGATATTAACTTTCCAAGGATAATAATAGAGTTATAAATTTCTCTTGATATGAGCACATGATGATTATTATTATTCTTAGATTATGGCATAAATAAAAGTTTCGTCTGGGACAGCTTTCTGATTACTTTCTAAAGCTGCTTTATAGTAAAAAATTTATAATATTTATAAAAAATTATCCTAAACGAAGCATAAACTCGTAACGCTAAAAACCTCAAATAAGATACATTAACATATGTTTATTGTACACAAAATATTAAAAGTTTAGGGGGGCACATAGGAAAAAAAGAAGCCATAGTTGGCCATCCATGAGCTATAATATACAAGAGCAAGTACAAGGAGTAGATCGAGCTATGGCTTATTAGATGGAAAAATTATTACGTCCGGATAGAATACCGAGCATACCGAGTGTATCGAGTGCGGTACCGAGCGCCCAAATGATGTGGTGCTTTATTATTGGTCTCTGGACAAGTTCGATGTTAGCTCACCTCTATATAAAAAAAAAAAAAGGACAAGGACAAATAAAATAAAATCCCCACATTAAACTATAATATAACAGACAAAAAAAACCCACAAAATCTCAATCTACGACGCCATAGCAGGCCGCCGGCAGCCTCACCGGCTGGCAAAGCTCCAGCTGTGTGAGCTCATCCCTATCTCTGCACCTTCTCCTCCACAAGCTCTCGACGTAATACGGCTTCTCCTTCCTTTTCTCCACCGGAAGAGGCGGGTCCATCTCCTCCATTCTCAAGACTCTGGCCTCTGTCATCTGTTTCTTCGACTTACCGATCGCCGGAGAGCAGCAACTGGAGGCGGAGGAGAAAGAAGCTGAAACCGGAAAAAAGGAAAAGCCATGTCGGAGCGGTGGTGGATTCGGCAGCGGAAGCGGTGGAGGTAGTTTGCAGCGCTTGATCTGGCCCATACAGCTCACTCTCGGTGACGTTGGTTCGTTTGTGCTGCTTTGGTACCTCTGGTGGCGCCGTTCTGGTTCGGTGGAGGCAGGCTTTTTGGGACAGGTAGATTTGGAAGAAGAAGAAGAAAAAGAAGAAGATTTGATTCGCCATGCACGACCGATCACAGCCATGATGAAAGCTACTAAAGAAACAAAGGGGTGGCGTTCCAAGGGAAGAAGATGAAGTCGTTTAAATTAAAGTGCGCTGGTGGTTGATCAATGCCCGAGTGTAGAGGGATTGTCCTCTTCACGCACCGTGCACAAAGTATTTGATGTAATGTTAAGTGTACCTGGACCCAGGATTTCGATAAATTTTTATTTGTACTTTTCTTATGTGACAAAAAAATCAAACTTGATAAGATACATCTCAATACAAATTAAAATTCTAACTCTAGCTCTTATTTTAATAAATTTATAATCAAATTGAGATAAACTCAAAAATATCAAAAATGATATGATTCGAGTCAAAAAAAAGAGCTTAAGATTTTATTTGAGACATCTTTAACACGTGCATTTAAGAATTTTTTTGCTCAAAATCAATTTTACCAAACAATTATATATATGTTGTGTGATAAAAAATGAGGCAAACAATCTATGTGCCAGATCAAACAAGAGCAAATGAGAATGTAAACAAATGTAGATGTAAATGATAGAAAAGACCTGATAAACTCCTGAGCTTGGTGGATAATATGAGGCAAAACAGCTTTGAGCCTGTTTGCAAGGAGCTTAGCCACAAGTTCATAAAGAAATGTAGTGCTTCTGATTCTTCAATATAATAATCTAAAAAGTTTAGCTGATCACCTACCAATTCATGCTCTGATTATGCTCTCTGGTATCTGGAGAGGACAAATTTTTTATTCAGCTTACTTATCCGGTTATTGCATTTGATAATTTGAGCTGAAATTCAAAACTCTTTACCATACGGCCCATATTAATTCTTTGATCATAAAATATTTATTCAACATTTAATCGTCTTAATAATGTCAAGCCGTTCAATTGGACTATAAGAATGTTTAATTTGGACATTTTTTTGTCATCCAATTAATGCTCTAAAACTTTTAAATATGTTTTAAGCCCTTAATTTGAGCTAATTTGAATTCGTATTGCATTGATTCTCATATAAGCATAAATGATAAATTTTTCTTCTTCAGCTAGTTGTCCTAGGGCTTCCTAGCTCCCGCTTCCTGGCGGCTCTGGCCACCCCTGCTGCAGGAAAGTCTCCTTTTTCTCTTCTGGTTTTTTTCATTTCCTTCTTGGCTCGTCCACCTCCAGTCATTTGTGGACGGAATAGCGTTGAACAGTCTCTCTGATCCGAGTTTTTTGGAAGGATCATTTAAATCCCGCTCTTTTATTGATGTTCTTACTGGTTCCTCTGATGCTAGGTTTCTTGACCTAAGACCCTCTACATTTCGGGGCTTTCCCTCTCTTTGGATATCGAAGGAGAAAGTCATTGCGCTTGTTTCTCCTTTTCAGCTCTCGTTGGTAGGTAAATTTCCTCTAGGCGTCCATCCCTTGATGCTATTCGGAAGTTCTTCTTCAATCTCAAATTAAATAGGGATTTCTCAATGACATTGTTGAATCTGTCTCATGTTTTGATCAAATTGATAAATGACCTAGACTATTGCATAATTTTTTCTCATAGATCCTATTTTGTGAATAATAGCTACATGAAATTAACTAAGTGGTCCCCTCTTTTTGATATTGGAGTGGAATCCCCTATTATCCATATCTGGATTTACTTTCTCAATTTATGGACTCATTTTTTCCCCTCATATACTGCATGGGTTAGGTTTGTTGTTCGGTGAATCGCTTAAAGTTGATAATGCGACGTCTATGGGTTACCGTCTATCCGTGGAGAGAATTTTAGTTGAGCTTGACATTACTAAGCATTATTCTCATAGAATCTGGCTTTGTCCTAAGAATTATGATTATATTCAACATGTAGAGATGGAGGAGTTTCCTCTTGCAAGCCAATTGGGCACTTGAAGGGTGAATGTCGTCCCCTCCCCTCCGTTTCGGTCTATGCTAATGCTAATCATCCTATTAGCTTGGACGTGGAAGTTAATGCAGCTGGGGATGTTGTTGAAAATCCCACACCTAATCTGATCTCCCTCATGCCGATTGCACCTCATGGGGATGGTTTTGTGCCTCTCCATCCTGTGGTGGTCCCGTTGATTACTTCTTCTCTTATTGTTATTTCTCCTGATAGTGGCCAATGTGAGGTGGCAGGTGTTAATAATGTTTTGGTGCTAAATAATTGTGCTGCTAATCTTTCAGCCAGTCCTGATGTGTCTCTTAATTCCAATGTTGATGATAATGTTGAGAATATTGCAGATTATGTTTGTGTTTCTTTGGACCAAGGGGGGTCGCCCTTAGGATCATTGCTAGCTACCGGCTGTTTCTCCTATTACTGATTCTATTATTGATGTCCCGATTAAGATTATTTCAAACGATGAGTTGAGAGCTCAGTTGACGATAAATGTGAAAGAGTCTTGCGCGGTGCAATTGGATTGGCTTAATGAGTCATGTTCTTCGACTTATGGAGGGGTTGGGGATTTCAATGTTGGTCTGAGAAATGAGTATAATATTAATGTGGATCGTGTTGGTGATATTGATTCTCACAGTGTGGGTGGCAAGCGTCGAAAAAGTAAATCTAAAAAGAATTAATGGTTTCTGCATTCCCGTTGGGTTCTTTTTATTAGAATATGTATTTACATATATATTTATATATTCTCTTATTCTAGAACATCTTTGGCATTCTTGTAATTTCGGATATTTGCCTTCCCTCCTGTTCTATATAATGACAGGAGACTTCTCTGCTTAGAGAAGAAAATCATAATAAAGATTTTACATTCTATCTCTCATCTTCTCTCAAGATTTAGAAACGTAGATTATGTTTCTACATGGTATCAGATAGAGGCTGTCGATCCTGAGCTATGACCGATTCAGCTTCATCTCGCCTTCAAGATCGAAGTGCAAGTCTGCCGCCGGATGAATCTGCGATTCCGGCCACCCTGAAGTTCGTGGTCTCGAATCTGCGGAATCTAGTTACGTCTCCGCTTGCTCCTGAAAACTTCTTGATCTGGAAATCCCAGATTCTCAAAACATTGAGAGCAAATGGATTTCTCAACTTTGTTGATTCCTCTGTCACGCCGCCATCGCAATTCTTACAGACGTCAGACGGCTCCTCCTCGATTAATCCCGTGTGTTCTCAGTGGTTGTTGACGGGTCAAAATCTATCAGCGGCCATTTGTTCAACCATATCGGCGTCGATCCTTCCTTACGTAATCTCGCTGGAATCCACCGCACAAATTTGGGCTGCACTTGAAACACGATTTCAAGCCACAAATCGTTCGAAGGTTATTCAACTAAAGAACGCGTTGCACAATGTTTCTCTCAAGAACAATTCCATGACAGTCTATCTGTCAGGATTATCTTCTATTGATTCGGAGGATATAATACACTACATTCTCAATGGTCTTCCCCAACCATACCAATCCTTTAAAACTACCATTCGAACTACATCCTCATCTCTCACTCTTGATGAAATTTATCCTCTTCTCTTGAGTGAAGAGATTAATCTTGCCTCTGATGCTGCAAGATACTCTACCGGTCATGACCCAAACATGGCTCTGTTCACAAATAGAGGGTGAGGTCGCCGCTCCAAAAGCAAGAACGTTAACAACTTCAGCAACAGAACACTTTCAGCTGATCAATACAATGCTCCTATGACCAACCGCACCAATCCGAATGCAGGAGTGTTTTGTCAAATCTGCTACAAGCAGGGTCACTTGGCTCAAACATGCTGGCACAGGCTAAATCCCCAGTACATTCCCTCCACCAAGACTGAAAATACAGCACTCTTGGCTAGATCGGAACCCACGCATGCTTCTTGGTTCTTGGATTCAGGCGCCTCATCTCATCTTACGAATTCATTGAAAAATATGTCTATGGCTCAACCTTATATGGGCCAGGAAAACATCACGGTGGGCGACGGCAACTCTGTCAAGATTGCTCACACTAGGGCGGGTATTCTCCCGACCCCATCTCGTAAACTGAAATTATCTCAAATTCTTCATACTCCCTCTCTTAAATTTAATCTATTATCTATTTCTCAACTAACAAGAGATAACAATATTTCAATTATATTTGATCCTTCCGGTTTCATGTTGAAAGACCTGGAGACGGATCAAATTTTATTTTCGCGGACTGTGTAATGGCGGACTATACAACATTCCTATGGTATCCACGACAAGAACACATCCGGCGCTCACTGCAGCTACCTCAGCTGCTCATACGTGGCACCATAGACTAGGACATCCTCATAAACGTATTTTTGATTTCATTTCTAACTGTAATCCAACTTTGAAAATGAATAAGCAGCTATCTCAATGTGATTCTTGCAATGCTTCAAAATGTCATAAGCTTGTTTTTGGTAACTATCCTGAGCGCCAAATGCATCCCCTGGCCATTATTCATTCTAACGTCTGGGGACCGGCACCGTCGGTCTCGTGTCAAGGATTCAAATTTTATGTTATTTTTGTTGATGATTTTTCACGATATACCTGGATTTTCCCTCTACGCTATAAATCTGATGTATTTCATATTTTTGTTAATTTTCAAACTCAGCTAGAAAGATTAACTTCGCATCGTATACGAATCTTGCGGACAGATGGAGGTTCTGAATATGTTAATAATGCCTTCAAATCCTATCTAACACAGCAAGGTATCACCCATCAGCTATCATTCCCATACACCCCGGAACAAAACGGACTGGCTGAAAGAAAGCATCGTCACATAATCGAAACCACACGAACGCTACTTCTGACCGCCTCCATGCCTCACGTTTATTGGCCTGATGCGGTGAATACATCGGTCTACCTCATTAATCGGCTACCGTCGACTATTACAAACAACAAATCTCCTCTTAAAATTCTGTAACAACAAGAAACCCGATTATAATGAGCTAAAGATTTTTGGTTGCGAATGTTATCCGCTGTTACCTTTACATACTCGCTCTAAGTTGCAACCAACGTCTCAACAATGCACATTTATTGGATATTCTGAAGTCCATAAAGGATATCAGTGTCTTAACATGCTCACGAACAAAATAATGATCTCTCGGCACGTTCGATTTAATGAGACTAAGTTTCCGTTCTCTAATTCCAAACATGTTGTTCAATCCGCTTCTCCTTATATTTGTCCTCTTTTGCTAACACCTGCTTCTCTAAGTCTTCCTACACAGGTTTCAGATCAGCCTTGCTTCCAACCCACCTTGGCCAATACTCCTCAGCAATCAACTCAGAATCTATGTATTCCTAACCAGCTA